TTCCTCTTCTTTTATTTCGGTTACTAACTCAATCCCTGGGAGGGAGTCCACGATACTTAGGGTAGTTAGTTTTTCGGCTCCTCCGCGTTCTTTTCGGCCTTACGAACGAATTGTTCGATTAGTTTATTAATACGATTAAAGTTACTATACTTATTAGGACAATTTTTAAAATAATAGCCGGTTTATTTATAAATAAAATATTTATTTTCCTCTAATAATTTATAAGTCTCGTCCTTAAATATATCGGAGGGACGTTAGTAAAAACCTAAGCTTTTAATTGCGGATAAGGAAGAAGAAGACGAACCTTTAGCCTTACTAGAGGTATTTAATTATAATAAAGAAATTTTAGTATCCTTACTCTTATCTTTATATTTCGCTTTCTATAGGCGTTGGCTATTTTCTACGTATTTTTTAGTTATACGGATAAAGGTAACGAAATTAATAGTATCTTTTTTATATTTAAAGAGAAGAGCATTTTAAATATTAGTAGGGAGCTTCTAATTAAATTCCTACTTCTAAATATCGGTTAAACGGTTATACTTGCCTGTAAGACGAATAAAAGCGTTTTAAAAATCTTAAAAATCCTAATTTATTTTATATTATAATTCGTTAAACTTTAGGATAGTTTTTTCCTTCCGGTTATAATTATAGTATTTATTCTTAAGATAATCTAATAATTATTGCGAAGTTTTAAGATAATATAGACCGTCTCTTAAATATAATTCTAAATCCTAGGCCGCTTTACTTATAGTATAGTTCTCAATATATATTTTCTTAACTTTATTATTTATAAAGTAATTAATATTAAACTTTAATTTATTTTAAATACAGCGGTACTAAACGTTAAATAAAATAGTATCTTTATTTTTTTCGTTATAAAAATATAATAGGTCTTTCTCTTTAATTAATAATTAGCCTTTACTAGAGGTTGAGAGGTTCGAAGTTAGAGTGCCCTCGTATTCTTTATTACTCTCGTCCGAATTATTATTATAATTATTAAATAAATATTATTCCTCTAACTTCTATTATATAATTAGATTAATAGTAACCTTCTTCTTCTACTTACACAAATCTATATTTTCTCTAGTAAAACGAGAAATAATAACGTTTAAATCTACAATTTCGCTTTTCTTAAATATTATTTCGGTACCTAATTCTTCCGTTTATATTTTAATTACTTTAAATAAATCTTTAATAATAGCTAACTCTTAACAAATTAAGGTTAGATTATACTTAATTTAATTTAACTTATTTAGTAATTTAGGGTATTTATAGTATTCCTCGGGGTCGGCGCTATATTATTAAATAAATAAAGAATTCTAGTTATTATACGAACTTTAATAATTAAAATAGGAATTATCTCGGTCGTTAGGGTCGTCCTTATTACTATTTTTATTATTAGTATTTTTTAGGTCGGTATTCTTTTATTTAATATAATTTCCTATAGTAATTCCTAATTTAGTAAAGCCGAAATTTAATTCATTTATTAAGTCCGTATTTTTTTTATAAAACAACGCGTTCTTATATTTTAATTTCGTAAATTTATTTATATTATCTATAACCACAATAGGAATACTAGAATTAATTAGAGTATTCTCAAGAGTAGTTATTTTCTTTTTAAATTCAAAATTCTCGTCCTCGGCCGTTTTCTAATAATTAAAGAAGTTTATAACGTATTTATATATTTTACTTAAATTAGTATTTAAGTTAATAATAATAATTTAATAATTATACTATTAAACGAACACCACTTCTATAAAAATAATATACAATTTAATTTCTTAAAAGATTACTTCGAAATTAACGGAATTTTAATAAATATTTTTAAAAGTAAGAAGGTTTATTAATAATAGTCTTATACGAGATTTATTACAATATAAATAATTTAATTAATATTTCTTACCGATTAATATTAATAGACGGAAAGTGAAAGAGGGACTGTTACTCTTCTTCGAATAATATCTTACGATTATATTAATTTTCGTATATAGGAATATATATAAATCTTCTTTTTTAAAAGTATAACGAATATTAATTATTTTATTAGTGATTTCCTAATTAAAAAATACAATCGCCTCTTCTATATTATCGGGCGCCTCCTTATTTTCTAAATTAAATATATTTAATATTCTAAATTGAGTATCTTATTTATCCTTAATAGTAATAATATTTAATAAACGCTAATAGAATATATTATTCTATTCGATTACAAATTCAGGGGTAATAGGAATATTATCGACATTAAAAATAATTTGCTCGGTAATAATCTTATCCTTCTAGGCCCTAATAGCTTATTTCTACGCTTTATTAATTTAAATATTCACTACGGGGGATACTTTAATGCCCTTCTTCGGCGAGGTTTACGCCGACGCCTTCTCTTCTAAAATATACGCTATTACAGGGTATTTAATAATACAACGTAATATAATTATTTAAAAGGTGTAAAAGGTTAGAATATTTTAATTCCTCCCTAGAAGTGTAGAATCGATCTTGTAATTGTCACGAGCAACGTAGTTACGAGAGATAAAGCTAAATACGTTAATTCCCAGGTCTATAGTAGAATTATAAGATAGGGAAGAAAGAGGAAATATATAAAGGTGCGCTTAGCGTCTGGGGTTTTGACCCGAGACCTAGGTGGTTAATGTACGCGGCCTGGTGCCTGCCGCTAGGCCACCAGTCGTGCCATATCAGGACTGGAACCCATCCGCCAGTGCCGTGACAATAAATAATTAACTATAGGGAGTAAAAGGGAAGAAGAAGTGCTAGCTCTAGCTAGCACGGTTAAATATAGGAAGGAAGTGGGTCCCGAGAAGGGATGTACCTAATTAGACAATACGGGTGGATGCGATAAGGATGTACCTAACCAGAAGGCTTAGATAGGAGCACGGGCTATATGGGTGGTCTTGGCAACCAGTCTGGCTTAGCTATGATAATTTGAGTGTTCGTTAAATATTAAAAGCCGCTAATTATTGTTGATATGGGTCTTAGGAAGGTAAACCTCCTTTAATTAATGTAAAGTAATCTTTGAATTACTTTATTTAGTTAATGTACTATTGTATTTCTAGTTCTTAAATTTATTATTTATATTATTAGGGAATTATTGTCCTTGGAGGTTAATATTAGAGAAAATAACGATAAAAGTTAATTTCTTGCTTTTAATAGTCCTATATTCGATAATGGATATTTAAGCTATTATATTAGTCGTTATTATATATACCTTCTTGATTAGAGTAAATTTAAATATTTTGCTATTTTTAGATTTTAATTTTTAAAGATTATATTTATTTATATTCGAAATATTAGCTAGAATAATACCTTTATTGCGAATTTGGACTTTTAGAAGGTTGAAGAATTTTATAAAGGCTTCTTAGGTAGACCTTCTAATTCTTATTAATTCGAACGGTTTCGAAAGTTTAGTTTTAATATTAGGGTTATACTTTAGGAATTAGTCTACCTAATAAGCGCCTAGCTTATTATAGTCGCCTCTTCTTTTTAATATTGATAATGTGAACCTTGATACTTAACGATAATTGGGAGTATAGTTAGCCTTCTCCTTATTTAGTATCTAATTGTAAATAAAGGATTTTTATATTAGCAATAGCTTTTAGTAGGGGATTTTAATGTTACGTTTAGTAGGGGTGCCTTTGATACGGTTGCCGAGGGTAGATTATAGAATCCTATACTTCTTCGCTGCTGTATGTTGGGAAAGTCCGTTGCGAATATCTTTAAGCGCTTCTTTAATTAAAGACGAACTTATTGTAGTAGAAACGAACGCGATTGGGCTTGATTTGATTCAATTGTGGTTGTTGGGAGAAGCAGGGTGGTGATGTTGCATGAGGGGAAACAGCGGTGTGGAGGTGGCTAGTTGAGGGGGGCGGCCAGCTGTGGGGTTATGACTGGTAGTGCTTCATCCCAACACACAACATTATCTTGTGCGCCCATGGAGCCGAGCAGGGAAGGAGATGCCTGATGCCCATTCCCAAGAAGGAAGGAAGCGGCTGGTTGCAACCGAGCGGTCAAAGTGCACAGTTCTGACACCTCAGTCCATTTGCCATGGATGAACTCTTTTCGTCTCCCATTCCGTGTGTAAGGTACACTTAAATAACCCGGTTCGATGCCATGTGGTATGGCGAAAGGGCGGATCTTTTTGGCTGCCCTTGCGATTTTTCTACAATAGCGCGCCCCGCAATATAGCCGGAAAGCTTGATCATGTTACCTAAACCTCTGGTGTACCCGTCGTCTGTCTGTCTGTTCCCCAACTCTGCCTGCTGCTGATTTTTGAGCGAGGTTCCGCCAGCAAACAATATCTAGGGAATTGATGGTGAGCAAATAGCCATCTTTTGTCAAGACTGGGCACCAAACTCTAGCATTTACCATGCATACTGCATTCATCTGGACTTGCATTACCGTGTATCCAACTGTATCGGCCCTGCAGGAGAATGAAAGCCACCGATTGGCCCGGCGCAAACCTCCATGACGCTAACATGATATATATCGCGCAGCTGGGGAGATCTCGAACGATCCTCAGCTCAGTTCCCTAGATTGATTGATTAGATAAAAGCGCTTGGGACGATGCCTCTCCACCGCTGGGCCTGGCCTCGAACACCACCACCACCAAGGGTCCCATGCGCAGGCAGTCATTACATATGTTACACAGTACAACGGACTTACCCGACATGTAGCTTTTCGATCGGTCAATCACAACAGTAAAAAATGGGTTCGGTCTTGTAGAGGAGCTTGCTTGCTTGACCCATGATGCCACGAGGCTGGGCTTTCAAGGCCGAGGCCGAGGTGACACTCGGTGGGAAAGGAAAGTGCTGAGTGCCTGATGGATGACCCACTGCTCCGAATTCCCCTCTTTCCACTTCTCTTGACTGACTGACTTGGCAAGCCCGGGCTTTATCAGATCTTTTATGACCAAGTTTATCAGATCTTCTTACTTGGACAACGTCCGTCCGTCTCAAGTTCGACATTCATCCACCGTCCGGACAGACATTACAATGAGGATACTGTCACGGGTCGCCCTTCTTTCCCTCACCACAGCAGCAGCACATGCTGCCACCGTCGTCTATGACTTCAACGTGTCATGGATCACGGCCAATCCAGACGGCCTGGCCGAGCGACCGGTCATTGGAATCAACAACCAATGGCCGCCTCCGAGGATACATGTCCAAGTTGGCGATCGCCTCATTGTCAACCTCCACAACTCGCTCGGTGATGAAGACACCTCTCTCCACTTCCATGGCTTGTTCATGAACGGGTCCAACCACATGGACGGTCCTGTCATGGTCACACAATGTCCTATCCCCCCAGGTGCCAGCTTCACCTACAACTTCACCGTCGACCAACCGGGCACCTACTGGTATCACTCCCACAACAAAGGCCAATATCCTGACGGGTTCAGAGGACCCCTCGTCATTCACGATCCCAAAGCCCCGTTTGAGTACGATGAAGAGCTTGTCCTCACCGTTTCAGATTGGTACCATGACCGCATGTCATTGCTGCAGCCTCGCTTCATGAGCAAGTACAACCCAACCGGAGCCGAGCCAGTCCCCAAATCCGCCCTCATGAACGACACTCAGAACTTGACTATGCCCATGGTGCCCGACAGGACTTACCTGTTCCGCATCGCAAACATTGGCGCTTTTGCGGGTCAGTACATCTGGGTTGAAGACCACACCATCACCGTCGTGGAGATGGATGGTGTCTACGTCCATCCTACCGAGACAAACATGGTCTACGTGGCTGCCGCTCAAAGATGCAGTTTTCTCCTCACGGCCAAGAAGGAAACCTCCCGCAACTTTCCCATCATCGCCAGCATGGACACGGTAAGTTACCTTCCTTCACCTCCTCCTCAAGCCAGACATCGATACTGACATCCAAACGTACAAGACCCTCTTCGACACCATCCCCCCAGGCCTCAACACCAACGTAACCAGCTACCTCCTCTACAACCCCACCGCCCCCCTCCCCCTCCCTACCCCCCTTGACACTCTCACCCCCCTAGACGACACTCTCCTCCTTCCCCAAGACAACCTCACCACCCTCCCTTCTCCCGACCAAACCATCACCCTCAACGTAACCATGAACAACCTCGCCTCCGGCGCCAACTACGCCTTCTTCAACGACATCACCTACGTCCCTCCCCGCGTGCCCACCCTTTACACCGTTCTCTCCTCCCCCAACTCTTCTTCTTCCCAGGGGGATCTGACCACCAACCCCTCCATCTACGGCACCTACACCCACCCATTTATCCTCTCGCACAACTCCATCGTCCAACTCGTGCTTAACAACCTCGACTCAGGCCGCCACCCCTTTCATCTACACGGGCACCAGTTCCAGATCCTCCACCGCTCCGCAGCCGACGAAGGAACTTGGTCGTCCTCCTCCTCTACCCCCGACCCCAATAACTCTAACCATACCGCCGCCCCAATGCGCCGCGACACCCTCGTCGTAGAACCCAACGGCAACGCAGTCATTCGGTTCCAAGCAGACAACCCCGGCGTGTGGCTCTTCCACTGCCACATCGAATGGCACATGATCAGCGGATTGGCAGTGACGTTTATCGAAGCCCCTTCGGTCCTGCAGCAAACCATTAACCTTCCCGAGGACCATCTTGCTGCGTGCAGGGATAGAGAGGATCCGATTCCCTTTGAGGGCAACGCTGCGGGACGGGGTGGTGATAGTAAGGATCTATCGCAGTGGTTGGTGCTAGACGGACAACCGACCCCGCCCAAGCCAATCCCCGCGGGGTTTACGGGGGGCGGCATCGCGGCTTTGACTATGAGTTGTTTCACAGGTATACTGGGCGTGGCGGTGGTGGCGTGGTATGGATTTTCGGAGCCGGTGGGGGAGTCTAACACTGCTGCTGCTGCTGGTAAGGTCAAATCCCCGGCTGTGGCTGGCGAGTCGGGGTCGGAGTCGGGGGTGTATACGGATGTTGATAGTGCGGGGAAGTCAGCAAGTGTTGTCAGGGTTAAAAGGGGGACAGAGGCTGTTGAGTCGGAGGCTTTGTCGTTTGGAAGTGAAGAGGAAGCCGTCAATGGAGTGGGAATGGCGAGCAAGAAGGGAGACGGCGTGGTGGTGGATGTTGATGCTATTACGAGGGCATGAAGGGGGAAGAGAATTAATGAAAAAAAAAAAAAAAAAGAGTGGGATGATGAATGTAATAGTAATAAACGGAGATATGCCAAGATATGAGGAAGCAAAAAGATATCATCAACGTTGAACCAAGAAAGTACCTACCTTGCTCATTCTACTCCTCTTCCTGTCCAATCCTCCACGCAGCACATCACATTCATAGGCAACGCTCATCAAGACAAACTCGTCTCCTAGACATAACAGTTGAGACCTGGCATCACTCCTTGGGTGTACACATACTCCTACTACGCATCCAAGCATCTTTACTACCACCCCTTTTGAGCTTACTTTCTAGGTACCTAGGCAACTCCTAGTGTAGATCGAAATATGTATCCCAAAGGGACTTCTAGCCGATATCTTTTTTCCCAATTGTCGTAACCCCTAGACATCACAGTTTTACACCGGCCTTTCTTACCCACCTAACTACAACGAACAGTGCTATCAGACTGCAACACAAGGTCTCGGCATCAATCTTGTCAAGTTGTCATGGACAACCCAGGCGAGTCAATCAGTTTTCTTCAGTTTCTGCTCGAAACGTCCAAGCCATCCTATCTATCCATGTCTTGACTGGCAAGATACCTACCTACTTACCTACCTAAGTACCTACACCAACTACTGCGAATGCTATCCATAGTAGGAACTTCACTTCTGTAGTCTGAGCAATATGCGGTTTATCTTTGGCTCTTAAAGTACAACCTTTTTTTCATGATACCAGTACAGTGGTGACGGCACGAGGAAAAGCGCGATGATGGATGTAACTCATGTGGATTCCAGACGGAAGAACTCTCGACTCGGACGGACTCTCAGAAAGTCACGCAACCTTTCATTCAGGAACTAAATGGTACTGAACTAAAGGGAACGAACTGAATCGAACTGAACACAGCAGCTGGCAGCGAGTCACTCATCCCCCCACAGCATCTTCCCCCACAGTTCCCTTTGGACACATGATAGACTGAGTCCTAGCCGGGTGAGCAGAGCAGGGACCGTTTCTTGACTAAAGTTAAATATTCACATTTTATGAGCCCAGACAGGGTATTCCCTCTGTATCACCTCGGCTTGTACGCCATTCTCGTCCATGGCCAAACTAATTGAGACCTTTGCAGTCCGGTACTGTAACGCTCGTTGTCATGAAGAAAGGCTATTGCAAAATCGTGATAGGCATTGTAATAACTCAAATACACCTCGGCTAGAATCCCTTTGGGACATTTCAATCTTGGAATTGCCTAGAAATCAAGTTCAAACACATAGTAAAGACACTTAGATGCGTAGTAGGAGTATACCCAAGGGATAATGTCAAAGGTCTCAACTATTTTATCCAGAACAAGGTCCATGCCATAGTTTTACAAAACTGGAGTTTGTTATAGTTGTTGTTTGCTCGTTGTCGATCGAACTAGTAACTGTACTGTCACCATCATACTAACTTTATAAATATATAATTAAACTGAATCCACCGAGCTACCGATGCCCGAATCAGTGTTTCTGACTCTCTTTTGCGTAATTCCGGTACCGGTAGTAAAAGAGGGGTCAGAAACGGCGACTGCAAGCATTGCCTAGCTTGGTGTTAAACTCTAAATGTCTTTGGGAAGAAATTTAATATGATAAATATAAGTACTTACTTTTTTATCGGCGTTGACTGAATCAGTCAGCCCCTCAGCTGTAAGAGCAGCGGCCGCTTGGTCTACAAGTGCCTAATCTTAATCATAGTAGAATTAGTAATTACTCTCAATAATTGCATGTGCCTGTAGGGTATTTATATCGAAGTTGGTATGGAGTTGCCTTGTGTTTATCGTTCATTCTTCTTAATTTAGCCAAATCTCCGGCCCGCTCGGCCGCCCATTCCGCCTCCTTGGCGTTAACATTGGCCGTCAAGTTCTAAAAAACAGGTAGCATAAAAGTACCAATCAGTAACAAGCTCATATACGTACATTATACCGATGATGACCTATAATTTACCTACCTGGGCTTCAAGCAGTGCCCGTCGGCGCGCTTCTGGAGATTCTTTAATATCGTTAGCCGACTGGAACATATAAGCACTCGCTGGGTTGATAGCCCTGTATCATATCATACATACCTCCTTGTTGTTGGCCTAGGCGCCATTTGACCTATATTAGCCAGCTTGCACATAAACCTGAATTGCATTGTTGTAGGTGTTTACCATCAGCTTCTCCTGCATAACAGTTAGTTACACGTTAACTGCCAAAGAGCGAGAGCTCTTCAAATCCGAACAGACGAAATATACGTACCAGCGCCGTCTTCTTGAGCGGCTTCTTTATGCTGTTCTGAGTTGTGTTAGGATGAAGCAATAGAAGTAATGAAATAATCGAAGAATGACCCAAGGTAACAAGAAATGACAAGGGCGCCAGAAGGGGGCGGGAGGGGGGCAGCATGATAGGGCAAACGTGCATGGGCGGTAGGAAGGACATGGATTGGCTCGGCAGTTGAGGTCAAGGACTCCATGGAAACAGTTGAGTTGATTGAGATGACGAAATTGGTAGAAGAAAAGCGACTGGAGGTCCAGCAACTATGCGGGAGGGCCATTGATAATGCAGAGCAAGTCATCGCCAGATGAGGAAGACTTGGCTTATTGAGCGTTGCAATTCGGGCTCATAACCTGTCAAAGTGAACAGGGTGCATGTATACAGGAGGACACGAGTGTGGAAGGTAAGCTTGTTGATTGCACAAGCAAGAAGAAGAGAATAAGGGAGATTGGAACGCCTTGGATGTATCTGTATGGATCGAATATAATCATTTTGCTCGAAGAGTTGTGCCTAGGATGAGGATTCTTTGATAGGGCTGCGTTCGCCGGCTTCGGCAGATGAAGGCCCGAAAGGGGGTAAGGGATAACCGGGAACAGCGATTCAACGAGTGAGGATGAGGCCGTGGATAGAGTAAGGGGATGATCGGCCAAGAGGATGGCTTGGAGGTTGAGCTTCGGGACTCAAGGAAGACGGTTGAGTTGACTGAATGAAATGAGAAGGATGGCAAGACATGCGATTGAAGCTCCAGCATTCATAATCGACATCCAACACTTGATGGCTGTAATGACTGCTAGCCTGAAGGATGCAAACGTAGTGACAAAGAAATTCCAAACGCAAAAAGAAAGAAAGGAAAACAACAAAAAAGGAAGGATCCGTCTTCCCAACAGTTCAGTTACGAGAAACAATGAAATTGTCCATTGGCAACAACCTACCTCTAGGTAGCCAAACGAGAACGACGAGACCCTGAACTCCAGTCCAGTCCTCACCCAGAACGATAATTGATTCAGGTTGTCGACGCCCAGGGGCATCATCTCTGGGGTCACGTCTCTCTTTCAGTTTCATGTAACGCTGTTTTATGAGCCAGCGACCGACCGCCTGTGCCACTCTTCATGTGCAAAGACTATGTCGCTTGAAAAAAAAAAAAAAAAAAAAAAAAAAATGCAACTGCTACCTAGTTCAGTTGGCTGGATCGAGCGAGCGGTCCAGTGGGATTCGATGAACTCGCTCCTTCAAATTTAATGAGCTAGAGGTAGAGGTAGAAGAACGGCCCGGGGTGCAGTGACAGACGCAACTGAGTGATGAATCAAGGCAAACGTACACTGTAGAATCAGCAACAGTGTGTCTGTCAGGCAAGAGCCTGGGGCACTATGTGGGTGGGCAATGGCCGGATACCCTCTCGATGTCTTTGGATTCAGTGGGGACGGGAAGTGCCAAGGCAGATGGAGTGGTGTGGTGAAGGGAGAAGGGGTGGATGCCGATGCTGTTACTGGGCTTAAAGGGGAGCTTCGGAAGGAAGGCGCAAGGAGTTAGTATGTTAAACGAGGGTCATTGTGATGGTGACCGAATAACTGTGGATTTATGGAGCTGTGAGGATGCATAATGATAGTCAAGTTCAAACAACAAGTAGATATCACGGACGGAAATATGTCAAGGTGTAGTAAATTGACTACAGTAAGCCACAAACTCGCTAACTAGCGCAAATCGCCAATGTTGTAATCGCAATGCGTACGGTAACAAAGACACCGGCCAGTAAACCACTAAAACACCATGGCATCAAGGTCAGTCAAGAGCCCATGCCTAACCAGAGGCTAACGCCGCTTAAAGCAAATGCAATTCCTCATCCTTCTCCCTCTCCCCACCTCCCGCACTAGGCACAGTGTGGCTCTCCTTCTCGCCCTCCGTCCTGCTCGGGCTCGGGGCCTTGGGGACCCCATAAGCGCCCTCGGCCTCCAACGCCTGGAACTTCCTGACCACGCGCTCAATACCATCACAACCCCTCGCCAGAATGTCGAGGGTCGGGCCGTACGACAAGCGCACGAAATGGTGGCAGGGGGAATCAAACAAATCGCGACGTCTGCTGGGGTTCAAATCGAAGAAGATACCCGGGACAACGATCACCTTCTCCTCGAGACAGGCCTGGAAGAAGTTCAATCCGTCGGAAATCGGGCTGGGCAGCCACTCCAGGTTGAGCCAGAGGTAAAAGGTCGAGTCGGGGACGAGCTTGATGGAGAAACCAATCTCGCGAAGGCGGCCGACAACGAAATCGCGCTTATCGCAGAAGTGGCGCTGGAGAGCCTTCATCTCGGCCTTGACGAGCGTGGGGTCAAGCATGGGGATCGCCGCCTCCTGGAAAGGCACGTTGGTGCCACCGTCGAGGTAAGAACCGCACGAGCCGATGGCCTTGATGAACTCCTTGGGTCCCAAGATCCATGCCACACGCCAGCCGGGCAAGCGGAAGCGCTTGGTCAGGCCATCGATGATGAGGACGTCGTCCTCGTCGACATCTTGGACGTTTTCGGCGGCGGAGATGGTGGTGCCGTCGCAGTTGGAGGTGTAGTTGTATCCACTGTAGAACTCGTCAGAGACCAGAGTGGCACGCTCGCGGCAGATGTCTTGGATTTCTGCGAGTTCCGGGTTGGCAACGACACGACCGGTGGGGTTGCGCGGGTTGGAGGTGATGATGACCGAAGTGCCACGGGCAATTTCCTCGGCGATCTTCTCGGGGTGGATGTGGTAGTCGTCTTCTTCGGACAGCGGGACGGGGATAGCGGCGAAGTTCTTGAAGAGGGAAAGCATCTCGTTGTAGGCCGTGTAGTCGGGGATGAAGAAGCCGACGTAGGCGTTGTTGAGGACGGCGGCGATACGGATCAGGCCGGCGCGGCCACCGGGCACGATGGCGACGTTCTCCCACGTGTACTTGGATTCCTTGCCTTGGCGGTGCATCTCGTTGTAGAGGTTTGCGACGGCTTCGCGGAGAGGCTTGATGCCGGCTGTGGGACCATACTCGCGAGAGTTTACGGAGATGTCGAGGTGCTGGGGGCGGGGGAAGCAGCCTTCGATTTCGTCGTCGACTTGGGGGGCGCCCTCTGAGAATGTGTGTTAGTGAATGTCGGGGGGAATTAGGACTGGATGGGGGGTACACACGTCCAAGGTTTGCCCACTTCTCGGGCTCCTCAAAGAAACCATGCTCGCCGGCTTGCTCGGAGCACCAGATGACTCCGGTGGAGGATCGAGTGGCATCCAGTCCAGCATGAGGAAGATGTCTATCAGCGCAAGGTTAGAATTGGGTCGTTCGAGGTTGGCGTGGCACAGTCAAACGTACCCTTCATGAGCTTCTCTGAACTTTCTGTGGATCTTACTGGACGCCTCTGAGTTCTTGATTAGCCTGGCGAACATGTTGTTTGTAATTGAATCCAAGGACGACGACATACCAGTAGCGCTGGGCTCTTGGATGGAAAAGCGACGGGCAGGTCTGGGGATACCAGTGTTGCGGTTGATGCTGAACTTCCTGTTGTGGAAGGCACCGGGGGGTGGATGCTGGTGGGAAGCCATCGTGAAAGACACTGTCGACTGCTGACTGCTTCTCCAAATTGGCTTGGAAAGAGAAGAAGGAAGCTCAGAACGAACCCGAAAGCGCAGGGCGACGGGAAGAATAAAAGCAATTCACATCGCGACGAGAGCTACCCCGCGGGACTTCACTTGGGAACCTGAACCAACTGGAGGGGTCGTCCAGTCACGGGCATCCGGGCATCGAAACCTGAACGAAGTGGAAAGTACAATCAATGGCCGTAGAGGTGTTGGGTCCGGTTGCGAAATCGGCTAGTCTTGCCAGGGTCCAAGTCCAGCAGACCCACCGAGCATGGTGCTTCCGCCAATCAGCTCGTATGAGAAACAATGATTATCGTCGATGAAGTTTGACCCCAAATCTCAACATTATGCAATCTCCAACACAAAGACATGGTTTTTGTACAATTGTTTCACGAAGCGAGCCCCTAGGAGAAACAATTCAATGCGATGAGCTCATGAGCAACAACCTCGATTCTGTCTGTTGTTTCTTTGGTGATGTTTTTGCCGCCCAAACTTGGAGAGGTGGACGAGAAAAAAAAAGATGAGAAAAAAAAAAAAAAACCAGAAAAAAAAATCTAGCAAAGCAAACTACCGATTTCGGGCAAGTTGGTTGCGATTCCCCAGTCGATGACGCCGCGTTCGGGTTCCCCGAGCAAGGTTTGTGGAAGGTGTCCATTCAGGAGGCTGGAGTTGCGAACTTGTGCCCGTGATACAAGTGGACGGTATGCCAATCATGCATGAGGATATGCATTGAACTTGGAGATCAACTCAATCCAAGTGGGCGCGTTGTGGGTTCTCGTTGGTCAGCTCCAAACCATAGACACATAGAATTCCCGTATTCTTCTTCCGCAACCCACTCGGTGTCGGCGGTGGGGTCACGGCACACGGGAGAGGGGGGCGGGGGCTCGGAGGGGGGCTGAAGGGGCTTCAGTGGCGGTAGAACTGGGAGAAGAATTCCATACAGATCCATTCACCGTGCCTGGCTGATCACAGTGATCTTGGGAGTTCGTTGCAAGTGAAGGGGTGAATGTTTTTCCCTTGAGGAGCCTAGTGTGACAAATGTCTGACATTACGTGTTGATGTATAGACAACTCTGATGAAGCCTACCTTGGACCAATCGTTACCATGACCACTTGGTATACCACTACTCGATATTCCTGTATCACTTTGACCTCATCTCGTCCGTTACCTCAGCTCGCCTTGTGCTCTCCTGCAAGTCGGCTGGTTCGGATCAAGAGGGAACCCCTGCCAAGAAGATAGGGGTTGCAACGGTCGTCTTGTCGCCCGGATCTATCCGGAGCTGTTTGACAGTCATGTCACCGCCGGCGTCGCTCTTAACACTCGACATCGCGATGGTCCCCTAAACTTAGCTCCCGTTGCCCGAATCGGTTTCTCTAACTCGCCATTTTTATGGCCAAGTCAGTTGACCGACATTCTCGCAGATTGAAGCAATGCTAAAGCTCCTATTTTTGGAACTGATACCGGATCGCTCGGGACATTCTCTTTTGATAGTTCCCTAGCGAAGCTTATAAAGATCCGTCTGCTGGGTAAAGGACCTCGAGGGAGGAGTGGCTTAAGAAAGAGGTTCGCCAAGAAAGAGACCATAACAATGGTCGTTATCCACCTCCGTCCCCTGGTTGACCGGGTGGGCCTTCCAAGAGTCAGGCGTAGGGCTGAGATACGGCGAGGCTCTTCTTGATGATCTTTGCCAAGCTTTCGGACTTTGTAGGATCTGAGGGCGGCACGGCGGGAACGCTTGGAGGAGTGCCCAGCTACAAGTTCAACTTCAGCCCCAAAGCCTCATCGTCCCCTTGTTAACCGGGCGCCCTCCTACATGCCTTTGTGCCTTAAAAAGGTCCGGCCACCCTCCTTCGTTGGGACAATGTCGCCCGAGTCTCTTGTCTTTTGGTCTCAGTCAGGGCCGATACTATCGCCAGGCTGACTGATTGATTGCTGTGCGCACCTTTGTGAGTCTCTCCACATCCACAGGCCCTCCACTATCCAATATGCCGCACCGAAGCCGGGCTTTTTAGATCAAGGGCACTGCTGACTTGGCTGCTTGGGGATAGCCATTGTTGATGACAGTGTCACTTCTCGCCTTGGGGTCAAGGGCGACCGGTGTTCAGAGAAACACATGTCCCATAAGGCCGCATCAGGACATAAACAACCCTTGCGCCTTAGGCATCATACCTTCTGGCGAATCGGTTCTTTGGTGATGTCGCACAGGATGGGAGGCTGAGAAGTCAAGCACGAACCGAACTCATGGGCAGTGCAAGGCTCCGCCCCCTGTTTTGCCCCGCCCCGTGAGTGAGGGCGGGGGCTTCCATCCATTTGACGAACGCTCCCAGTGGGTCACTTCCCCAGAATTTGTGGGGCTATCTCCAAACAGCAAGTGCCATTCATTGGCCCGAAAGTGACACCACCAACCATATGTAATATGGATCTTTGGGAACCAACATCACCTGCAGACATCTTCTTTCCCCGTCAAAAGCGGCTCACTGCCATATGAAGACGAACCCCTCCACTCATCAAGTACTACAGGATACAGCCATAGGCTTTTGAAAAGGCAGGAAAGCAAAGCATTCCTTGATTGCCAAGCCGATTTCGCAGCATGGTGAGCACACAATTAGTAGTAGAGGTAATCGCCTCTACACTTTATCCTATAAGATGCACGTCAGCTCGAATTGTCGAATTTGATGACAGATCACCAGTCACGGCAGAAGCCGGTGAATACTGCATCCCTTGAGTTAGGTACCTTACAGTATTATTTCATCCCTTGAGGTTCTCACATCTAGCACTGCACCAACGAAAGTGGCAAAGAGCAAACAACTTTGATGCTTCATATATGCCAAGTACAGCAATCACAAAGGAAAAGGAGCTCTGTTGCAGTAAACTGACAGCACCGAAGCTGCAGCAAAGAGTCACGGTCGGGAAAGAGTCACAGTTGGGGCAAATACCAAAAAAAAAAGGTTTCCATACAAAATGACAGACCTCGACAATTCTCCCCCCAGCAACATCTCCCTAAACTGTCATCATCAACAAACCGCCACAAACCAAGCCTCATACAACGACCCAATCATGTCACATCAAGGCAAGAAAGAGGAAGGCACTGCCTTGTCGAGAGGGTTCAAAAGGTTATCTGGAGTTTTCAAGAAAAAGTCAGACTCCGACCTGCGAGACCAGGGTCAGATCTCCCAACCCAACAGCACCGCCCGCGATGCCCTCGCCCCGAATAACCCCTTCGCCAACTCCGAGGCAGCCCCGCCCTCTTACAGCGAGGCCATGTCAGGCAAGCCCGGGGGATCCAGTTCCAGTCCCGCCATCCCGGTGAAAGGCAACCAGCTACATGCCTCGAATCGTCAAGACCCCGGCGCCTCCACGTCCTTTCAACGGCGTGTGACCCTAAACGGGCAAGTCATCACCGACATCGACGACCCCTACGCCTTTCTCTCCATCTTCGACACGGTCTTCCTCATCGACGACAGCGGCTCGATGATTGGCCAGCGGTGGTCTGAAGCCAGGGACGCCATTGCCGCCATCGCCCCCGTCTGCGTCGCTCACGACAAGGACGGTGTCGACCTTCACTTCCTGAACCACCCCCGGAGCTACACGAACATCACCTCGGCCGCCAAAGTCAATCAAATATTCAACAGCGTTCACCCGTCCGGACGCACGTTAACAGGGCAGCGCATCTGGGACATTCTGGGCCCGTATCTAAAGATGTACACGCGAGGTTTCGGGCATTCTAGCTGGGACCCGGAGAAGACGGGCGTGAAGCCGGTGAACCTGATTGTGATCACGGACGGGGATCCACAGGATGATCCGGAGTCGAGGATCTTACAAGTTATCAAGGAGCTGGAGAGAGTCAAGGCCCCTCCTTATCAAATTGGAATTCAGTTCTTCCAAGTCGGAGATGACCCGAGGGCTAGGGCGGCGCTGGCGGAGCTGGATGACGAGCTGGGTGGTGAGAAATCGAGGGATATGGTCGATACCGTAACGTGGGACAATGGAGATACGAGAGCGAGGCAGTTGGAGGGAGAGAAAATGCTCAAGATTGTGTTGGGGAGTGTGGTCAAGAGGCTGGATCGTCGGCCGGCGGCTGGTAAGGATAAAACGGCCAAGAGATATTAGGCCAAGCTACTGCTTTACTTTACCTTTTTTTCCCTGGCTTCTTTGGGTTGGCGCGGCTATGATCAACAATTCGGTGTTCGGGTTGCTACCTTGACGGTTCGGGCCAATGGGGGACCAATATGATCAAGGCATCAACGGCGTCCATGGTATTGCAGCCACTCGTGGTGCTCAAGGTGGGTTCAATGGAAGAGTTGGAGGGTGGTTGATTAGGAAGAAAAGAAGACTAAGTAAGACCATAAAACTAAGCACAGAAGACAGTTAAATACCCCGCCAATACTTTAGACACCATTGCACCTTCCAGTATGTCCTGAACTCTGAGAACATTGGGGGGGTATAGATGCATTCTTACACGGAATACCGCATAATTTTAAGCGTTAAACAAGGTCACCAGGGATTTTCTTATAGTTTTCATTTACTGCAGACAGCCTTTCGATTCCGTGACAGCAAATAATCAACATCACAAGCGTTCAAGCACTACAAGTTGATCAACTCTACAAACCCCTAACCCTGAACCCGCACGTGAAACAAATTAACCGGCACCGCATCAGCGAGTTCCAACCCTTGTCACAGCGCGTCTTGGCACACTTCACCACCACAACATCAACAACAAAACCCGCTAACTCCTACCGTGTCGTACTTCCCCAGTTCCATCTTTTTCGTCCAAACAACCCTCATCGCCCTTCTTTTTCAGAGGGGCCTCATCATCAACATCAACACCATCCTTCTGATCATCAACCATCCCTATGGTCACAACGAAAAAGACAGCAATATGGCCCCCCACGTAACCCCCACCACCAAACTGCAAATCATCGGCGCCTTCAAACTCCTCCGCTTCCTGCGTAGTCGCCACCAGTTTCCCCCCGGCACCATCTCCAACAACGACATCTTCCGCCTCTTCTCCGTCTCCCGCACCACGGGATACCGCGTCCTCTCGGAAATCACCGTCTCGCAGGACCTGACGGCTTCCGAACGCGCCGCGCTAGACGCCGAGACGGCCGCCGCCCTCGAAGAAGAGGAAAATGCCCGCATCGCAGAGATCATCAACAACCCGCGCGAGGAGACGAGGGGACGTAAACGGAAACTAACGGAGCGGGATGTGGAGGTTATTGAGCATTGGTTGGATCGGAATGGGGGAAGGGGAGAGGTGAAATGGAAGGATGTCCCCGTGGCGGCGGGGTTGGGGGTCATATTGGGGAAGGATGGAAAGGGGGTGGTGAGTGGGGTTACGGTTAAGAGGGCGTTGTCTGCCTGGAGGGAGAGGAATAGGGAGGTGGATGTGGAGGATTGGACGAGGGCGAGGGGGGCGGGGGGGTTGAGAGGGAGTGAGAAGGCGAGGGAACGGTGGGGACGGGTGAGACCTGGGGAGCAACAGGAGGACAATAGAGGTGGGAATGGGGAGGTAGAGGGGTTGGGGACGGGGACTGGGGGTGAGAATGGGAATGGGAATGGACAGGAAACGGGAGAAAGGGAAGGGATGTCGGGTAGTGAAAGTGAGAGTGAGGATGAGAGTGTGGTGGAGACGGGGGCTGGGCCTTTGGAAGCTGGGACGGCAACGGCGACGGCGAGTGGAAGTGGAAGTGGAAGTGGGAATGCTGCTATGGCGCCGCCGGGGACGGTAACGGGAAACGAGGGTGAGATCATTATGAATGCGACGGGCGAGAATCAGGCACAGCAGCAGCAAAACACCAAAAAGAGGCGAACGCAAACCGAACCACAAGGTCCCGACCCCAAATCCCTGTGGAAAAACCGATGGGAAATTGAAAGGGCCGCAAAGGAGGCTGAAGCGCGACGTCAGGCGGAGGCTATGGCTGAGGCTAGAGCACGAGCTAAGGCTCAAGCTGCCAAGGAACGATATCGTCTAACGCGTCAGAGGAAACGCCAGCAGCAGAAACTTGAGAGGCAGCAGCAGCAGCAGCAAAGTCAAGCTCAAGCTCAGAACTTACCTCCTCCTCCTACTGCTCCCGTACCACAACAACAACAACAGCAGCAGCAGCAGCAGCAGCACCAATATCCACAACATCCACAACACCCACAACAACAGCAGCAGCAACAGAGACCATACACATCAATGAGCTTCATCCCTCTACCAACCTACGGACAGCAGCAGCAGCAGCAGCAACAAAACGGAGTCGCAAGTGCAAGTGGCAGTGGCAGTGGTAACGGAACCGGAACCGGAACCGGAAGTGGAAGTGGACCTCCAACAAGTAGTAGTGCAAACCAAACCTTCAACAATGGGGTTGCTGCTGGAGGAAGTTGGAATGGAAACGCCAGTGCTGTCGACGGACAACAGAGAACAGTAACTGGTGGTGGTGGAGAGGCGGAGGATATCATGATGCTGGGGAGACTTTCGGGGGTTTTGAGGTAGGATACGATGATTATACCGCTTTGGGGTTGTGGTAGACGGGAGGGTCGGGTTTGGGCGAGGGACAGGGTTGGGTCAGGGACAGAGTTAGGTTTAGGGACAGGCCGGCAGCCGTAGCGTGAGCAGGGACAGGAGGGTCCATTGTAGTAATTGGGTTTGAAGGAGTGTGGATTGCTGGATGCGATTCTGGTGGTCACTTCACGTATTTTTTTTCTTTTTTTTTTTTCTCTTCTTTCTTATCTATGGTTGGGGGAGAGACACGAAGGAAACGAAAAGGGGGCACACGACCAGTTATTCTATGGCTTTTTTGCATCTATGATGGGTATATACACGGAACTGCTTGAACTGGTTGGAGGGAGGGAGCGAGGGAGGGAAGTGTATTGGGCGCGATGAGGGGATGTTTTATATGATTCCAGGGGGAAGGCATTTACCAAGCTGAGGACAGATCCTGTAGAGCGATTCTCGATTCTTGATGGAATAGAGGGAATACATGAGTATCTACAAAGGTTGTTGTGTGAAACACGAAGATAGCCCGAGGACGGCGATCATAACAGATTTGCCTTGGTAATTGGCGGGATGCAATCGAGATGCTACGCCTAGGATGGGAAAACGGGATAATACACGACCTATGGAAGTGAGGATGGATGGTCTCATGTTTGCCAGTGTTGTTGGTGTTTACTTCAATGTAGTGATATCAATGTTATCATTCAGACAAGAACTCCAACCCAAGTGATCTCTATCCATCTATACAAAACTATCATCATTTCAAACACACCAAACAACCCGCTCACCAAAGTTTCCAATACACAGCACTGACAACCCCAGCAACAGCCGCCACCGCAGCTCCCACTACCAAAACAACCATTCCACTATGCGCCGCCTCCCCCTTGGGCATCCTTTCAATAATCTCCTCCAACCTCTCCGCCATCTGCGTGTCCGCAAACCTACCCTTGACCCTCTCCATCCCTTTCTTCCCCATCCTCTTCAACTCTTCCTCCCCCATTCCATTCAACACCTTATCCATAACCTTGGCCCACTCCCCTACTTCATTCGGGTCTCTCAACCACCCCGTCTCCCCTTCCACCACCGTCTCCGTCGGTCCACCATTATTCGCCGCCAACACCGGCACCCCCCTTAACATGGCCTCGAGCGGGACGATACCAAAGTGTTCGTTACTTGGTGTGTAGACCAACAACTTCGCTGACCGCAGCAAGATTTCCTTGAAGGTGTTGGGAACCGACAACAGGAAAAGGACTTCCACATCAGGCGAGGTATTCAGCGCCGACACGACCGTTTTGGCCGTTGCCGTCTTGAGATGGTAAGGAGCTCCCTCAGCCAAGTCCACCAGGTCCATATGGTAAGACACGTTCTCATGCACGCGGTTATCATACCCCCCCGCGATAATCAACTTTGCTTTCCCTCTTTGCTCTGGAGAAAGGGAGGCAAAGGCCTTGATGGCCAGAGCTATGTCCTTTTTGCGCTCGAAGCGGTTGATAGACAAAAAAATGCCCTTTTTGGTCCAGGGGAGTACATCCTTGTCGTCGTCACTGGGGTTTTGGCTGAAGTCGGAGGTAGAGCGCACGTCGATGCATGGGTGGACGACTTCCAGGCTGCGTTTGCTGGCGAGACTGGGCCATGTTTGCGAGACGATCCCTTTGGTAAACGACGAGTTGACGGCGATGGAATCGGCGAAGCCCATGGACCATTCTTCCCATGTGTCGAAGGGCAGGCGGTAGAGGCGCTTGTACCATTTTTGGCGCCCTTGGACGAGGAGCAGGTCGGGGAAGTGGCAGTAGAAGAAGATGGGAGTGGTCGGGACGAGAAGTTTGAGCAGGGGTAGGCCGGCGCTGAGTTGGTCGACGAAGAAGGCGGAGGGGGAGAGGGTGCGTAGTTCGGAGGTTAGGAGGGTGATTTGTAGGATTAGGTGCAGTTGGCGGAGGATGGCGCAGAGGATGGAGAAGCGGCCGAGGAGGGAGGGGGGGATGATGGAGTTGCCGCGGACGCGAACGTCGAGGGTTCCTGTTTTGTCACTTTGTTAGCTGGCTGTTTGGGCTGAGCAATGGAATTGGTGACCAAGAGAGGAGGAGTAAATACCATCGCGAGCTTCATCAAAGCAGTGTCTGGGATCGCAATGGCTGGTAAAGATGACCACCTTATGGCCACGGTTCTGAAGGCCTACGGCGGCATCGACAACCAATCTCTCTGCGCCGCCAATTCCCAGGTCGGGATGGAGAAAGACTATTGTCTTTCTATCTTTCTCGTCGACACCCGCCGCCATCTTGACATGTGAATGTCGTAAAGTGTCTTCTTGACGGGGTGTTTGTTGAATGAACGTGTCCCTCCCCTTTGGAGATGCGATGTCATAGGGAGGAGCTTGTCCCGGCAGGCAATGATAATGCCAGGGTGCACTAACATAACCGCTAGCTTCTCCCGCGAATGAGTGTTAAGACCGTTGGATCACATAATGGAGGGACCTTCAGGGGATCGGTCGGCTTGGTGCTACCCGCAATTAGGTAATAGTTTAACAATGTTGTAGCGCAAAGATCAGCAACCAATCCCATTTCTGACGACGCCAAGGGTCCAAAACCGCGACACGCCTTGTGAAGAGTAACGCCATTTGTTGACTTCAGTTTTGGCTTGTGACTTTTCCTTGTTTGGGTCTTTTACCAGGAGAGCGTTGAGAGGGTTCTCCAAGGTTGTTCAAAGTCTTCAAGATCGAGACATTTTGGCTTGATCCGTCTAGACTTTGGCCAATGTCCTAAAGTTGGTCCAAAAGCCAGCCGACGACTTCACCCTGGGAAACTCACTCACATGTTTTGACCTTGTTGAGGTCCCGTTGCTGACACCAAACATCCACTTCGCTGGTTCGACAACTCGAACAACAAAAAAACACCAGACAGCTTCCGGCATTGGTGACTACGAGGTCAACACCAACGCCCTAATATCACCAGTTCCAACCCTCACCCATGGGTTCACACAACCATGGCGCTAGCTCCGGCGCAGAGCTCTCCAATGGTGCCCCGCTGCTGACTGTCAATGGGAAACCCGTCGAGAATGGTGTCGTCGACGCGGGATTGAAGAGCCTAGATCATTGTATGTACAGGAGCTGGCTTAGTGTTCCTGTTGGAACCATTGGGTTAACTAGCTGATCGCATCCGTACCCTCTTGAGCAACGTTATGCCCCTCCAACCCCGCCATGTCTTGCGTGTCTTGAGCTACATCTTGATCGCGTTCCCAATGTCGTCGAGCCTCAAGCTGACCATGGTGACTAGACCAGAGAGCGCTTCCAAAATGGCGATACAACCTACGACAACGACTACTCCCTCTCATCCGCTGGGAGACCCCATACTTAGCCATGCTCCAGGAAAAGTTACGGACACCAGCGTTGGATAGATACTTTGCCATCACGGCCAACCTTGGAACACACACCTTCTTCATGATCGGTCTACCAGTCCTCTTCTGGTGCAGTTTCTCTAGCTTCGGCAAAGGGTATGTCCTTCGCCTTGAACCAGTGGAAATCCCACAAGACCCAAGCTGACAATGCGCCATACGTAGCCTTGTCCACATCCTCGCTGCCGGCGTCTTCTGGACCGGCTTCATCAAAGATATGCTCTCCCTCCCGCGACCGCTCTCCCCTCCTCTCCACCGAATCACCATGTCCGGTTCCGCCGCTCTCGAATACGGTTTCCCGTCTACACACTCCGCCAACGCCGTCTCCGTAACCGTCTACTCGATCCTCGTCCTCCACAGTGACAAGAACACTTTCTCACCCAGCACGACGTTCGCGCTCGAGCTGCTCGCCTACTTCTACGCCTTCTCCATCGTCTTCGGCCGCCTGTACTGCGGCATGCACGGCTTTCTCGACGTCATCATCGGTTCCATCATGGGCGCCGCCATCTCCTACATCGAGTTCTACTACGGCCCGCCCTTCCAAGACTGGCTGTACGCCAGCGACTATCTCGCTCCCATACTATTCGCCATAACCATCCTTATCCTCGTGCGCATCCACCCCGAGCCGGCGGACGACTGCCCCTGCTTCGACGACTCCGTCTCCTTTGCCGGCGTCATTGTCGGTCTCGAGATCGGAACCTGGCACTTTGCGCGGTCAAGGTGGAACCACATTTACAACGGGCCCAACGCTCTCTTCGACCTCTCGGCCCTAGGCTGGCCGGTGATTGTCATTCGTCTCATCCTCGGCGTCCTCATCATCTTTGCCTGGCGCGAAGTAATGAAGCCTACGCTGCTCAAAGTCCTGCCTCACCTCTTCCGCGTCATCGAGACCCACGGCCTCTCACTGCCCCGCCGCTTCTTCATGCCCGCCAGCGAGTACAAGGACGTCCCGCTCAACCTGCGCGACGACGAGGTTCTTCCCAAAGTCAGCGACATCCCTCGGATGATGCGCAGTATCCGTGGACCTGGGCGTGGTCGAGCGGTCAGTATTGGACCGCAAAGTGCGGCGGATGCGTATGAGACGCTGGCGTATCGGGAGAGGAAGAGGAGGGAGAGCTTGAGTAGCGAGAAGGGCTCCGGGTTGAAGCAGGCTCAGAGTACTGCTGAGGGCGCTGATGGAGAGGAGTCCATGGTTGATCAGGCTGCGCACTCGTCGGGCGTTGAGAAGTACGAGAGGCAGATGGGTCAGGGGCAGGTGGTTGTTGAGAGCACAGGGAATTTGAGCCCAAATTCATCGGCCGTGGAGGAGCCAGAGATGTATCTGGGCCAGAGGGACGAGTTGGGAGAGAGGGAAATTTTCTCCAAACTGACGAGGCCGAGAGTGAGGTACGATGTGGAGGTGGTGACCAAGTTGGTTGTTTATGCTGGTAAGCTACCCCTTTCTTCCGCTCGTTCCCTCATGTTACACGTAAGGAGAGGGTCGAGGATCAAGATGGACCCCGCTTTTTCTGGGAGCTCTCTCACTGACAGCCACAACAGGTATCGGATGGCTAGCAGTCGACATGATCCCTATATTATTCGAGCTCACAGGGTTACTGGGAGCTGGCCATCTCCCCTTTCCCGTTCCTTCTTCATGAGCACAGTGGTATCAGGTTTTGACAAGGTGGTGAAAAGAGGTGGGGGCGTTTTTCTTCAGCTGAACTTCTTGGCACACTTTTGTTTCTTTTGCTAGTTTATACATACACTAGGTCATATGGCGGGGGTTTTGGTATCATGTTATGATGTTATGGATTCATCTATGCAGCTATCTCCTCCACCCCTTTTGGGCTATTGAAGAGACTGAAGATTGAGGAGGAGGATTAAAAGACGAGTGTCTTGGAGGCACAGTAAGTGGATGCTAATGAGAACGCTGTCGGCCTGGGGACTAGATCATCCATCCATGGCAGAGGGCCGACTGTAGATCGCCGCCGCCTGTCGATTTGCGGGGTCGATAGTAAGCATCACCGCGCCCACGTTTGAGCTTGTAAGAGGTCCCTCGCTTGTACCGTTTGGTCAAGGTGAGCTGTCCGTTCCTACATGTCGCCGACAATGCTGACCAGGCACCCAGCATATGTCAAACCTGTGGTCTGCGGGTTACACGTCAAAGGCACGTTCGTTTCGAGTTCCTGGTTTCCGAAGACCACGGCTGCTGGTGGGGTTGTGGTTGCCTAATGGTGAGCATCTCGGTCACCTATGAGCGCGTAGGGATGTAAGATGATGTCCCGTTGATACCTGGACAACACCGACACCTTGTGGTTTCCAGTGAGGTCACTGTAGGTAATCAATCAACCAGAACACCATACCATCGTGGGTTGAACTCACTTAACCTGGGTCCGGGACGTCAACTGTCCAGTCCAGCCAACCACCTCGGACCTCTCAAACTGTTGGGTCGCCGTCAGATGCGCCAGCCGTGTTGTTCGCGAGCCCAACAAAAAGTTCGAGAGACGTCCGAGTCAGACCAAAGCGGGGATCGCTGGGGGCCTGCCTGGGGGGGCTGACGGACCCTGACTTGAGTTACTGAGCTGTCACTGGTCGGCACAAATACATAAGCACGTCAACTTTTCATGCTTGCTTGCTTAAGCTTATGTACTAGATTCACTCACCGAACCCAGAGATGCTCTCATCCCATACGTCCGGCCTCGGGCCTTGCGTGCGGCGGGCGGGCGGGCATGATGCCGAGAACGCGAGGGGAACCCCAGATCGTGGATCGCGGGATCGCGGATCGCGGATGTACATACATAAGGAATAAGTTAAGGCTGAATTGGCATGGCAGGTGTGTGGAGATTTCGCGCCTTTTTGACATGACACGCGCGCGCGGGGGGGGGGGGGGGGACAGAGGAACGAATGATATGTAGTGTAGGGCTGGGCTGGGTCAATCTTGGACTGGGCGTCGGACAAGGGGTGATTAGGTACTGTAGTGTACTTGCGTGTTCGTTAATGCTGTGAGACGAAGGGGAGGATAATAAACGATGGATGAACGCACTGAAAAAGACCGACACCATACATCTTCACAGGGAACAGCGACGTCGTCGCGACGTTGAATCAACCTTTGACCTTATGTACATGAAGTCGTCCCGAAGATGTTACTCCGCGCTGAGAACTCGCGATCGCAGCAAACCTTACCTTCCTTCGAAGTGAAAACCTGTGAATAGCCTCACTTTTTTCCCTACAGGTTAAACAAAATATGCACAGACACACAAGAAACGTAAACACAGACCAGGCCTACTGTAGCTTCCATATTCACATGTATGTGAGTGTGTGTGTGTGGTAAAGCCCCCCTCCCCCCCCCCCCCCCCCCCCAAAGCCCAACCAGACCACACCAGAGTGTGTTTCCAGCAGGAGTTCAAGTTCTTCCGATGATGCACTTTTCCACTTCCACTTCCACACGCTTTTTGCATTTTTACCTAAACTACTTCTACCTTCCGCATGCGACAAGACAACGTGACAAGCTCCCAAAAAGCCTCACTCATTGCCAAGAGTCCACACACAACGGGCCGATAGAAACCAAAAGCCACAAACAGAAGGAACTGAACTGACAAGAGAAAAAAAAAAAAAAAGCCATACAAAAAAAAGTGACATTAAACACAGTGAGTGACGTTCTAGGGAGTGGATCAGCATGTATCGATGCCCTGGGCTAGGTGGCTCAGGCTGGTTTTTATCCGGCCGCCGGACTCCGGAGTGTGACCTAACGGCGACGATATCCGAAGTGTGGAATGTGAAAAGTCACGTGGAGTTGGCATCCATCTTGGCTGGATTTGGTTAAAAGCGTGGGCAGATACACTAGATGTGACCTCTACCGGTACGGTACCGGTACTGGACGGATTTTTCTCCAGTTTGCCACCTGCCTCAATCCGAGTTGCTCTCCTCATTGGTTGCCTTTGGCAGTTTTCCACCCCAGCCGCGTAAGCCCAGCTGGAGATGGATGCAAGTTGGATCGCATCTGGCATCTGGCAGGGCAGGCACGCAGGCAGGCAGATACACTACACTACACTACCGGTACAATCCAAACCGGAGCGGCAGGGGCCAGACGAGGAAAAAGAGTCATCGGGCAACAAACAACCTCCACCTGAATGCACATCCACAATGTCTTACATAACCCTTCAGGTTTCCTTCCCTACAACCCTAGAACAGAATACAGGTTACAAATGGAACAAGCGAGGGAAGCGCCCATTACGACTTCTATCCGATCACTCAGCTGTACATATCACTTTCACTATCGCTTTATCCCATCGTCGGGCGTGGTGTTAGGTATCATTGAAGTTGTCCAGCTGTTAGCCGTTGTTAGTAGATGGGACCGGGAGACAACCTCCAAAGCCTGCTTTTGGAAGGCAGGTCTAACTGTCAGGTAACTTGAACCCGGTCGTCAATTGATCAGCCCAGATTGCAAGCAGATCGACCCATTCAATCATCCATTTCCCTCCCATGATAGGTCTCAACAAGTGCCTGCCTGCCTGCCTTTTGCTTGCCGTCCCCAACCTACGTACCTCACTTTACCACCCCAACCAACCACTGCCCGCACCTGGGCCCCCGCTCGTTACCGTAACGCTTCCACTTGCTTGCTTGGTCACTGCGCCAGGTCGGTTCAAGGTTCCTCCTACGAGCAGATAGCGGCAGGTGTAGCCTCTGATCGCCGTCAATACACACGTTCGGCTGGAAACGACAAACATTGGCAGTCAGTTACCTAACAAGACAAGACTGGACTGGACATCGATTGACATTGAACATTCGCTTCAATTTGAAACACACTCCATCCATCCAACAAACAACACAGACCGACGGACACAGAGAGGCCCGATCCCGGCACAAGTGCGAACAATCCAATCCATCCATCTTATTGATCAACAGCAACAACTGAACTCGACACTTGCCGTTTCCGCCTTTCGGTTACCAAGTCCTTGTACCTACCTAGTAGCACCCAAACCCACCGCCCGATTGTTCGATTATCCTGCCTGCCTGCCAGGCGCATCCGACTTGGCTGTCCGCTCTTCAGCAGAAATCGAAGCAAGAAGCCGCCGCATCACGCATCAGGCACGCAACAGCACTCATCACGACGGGTACCGGGACTGACCCGAGCCTGTCTCTACCGTGTACACACGAGCCCTCCTTCGCCCTGGGAGTGGCAGACCCGGCTGGCGGACCACAGCGAGCGCAACCCCCGACGCCTTGCTTTCGTCCCGTTTCCCAACCGACCGACTATCCGCACACGGCACGCACGCCCCGTCCCAGCATTCGACCTCGTCATCATCGCGCAAATCGCAAAGCCTGGACGCATGTAGTGCCCCGTATCATGTCCACCCAAGCGAATGGCGCTGCGGCGCCAGACCACCCCGTCGCCCAAGACCCTGTCGCCCAGGACCTCGTCGTCGCCCACAGCAGTCCGGACGCTATCATGACCGACGCCGATCCCGACGCCGACCCCGATGCCTCCACGCCCATGGGTCTGCGATCGCCACCGGAGAGCGACAAGGCCATGAATCTCGACGAGGCTTCCGAGTCCGAACTCAGCGACCTGGATGACGATGTTGCCGACAAACTCGACCAAGACCATACGTTCGATCTCGACCTCGGCTCCGACCCGCTGCCTGATCCGAAAACCGGACAGCAGCAACAGCAGCCTGAGCCTAGCGTCTCGCATGAACATGAGCCCGCCACCGCGGCCACGGTCGAAAGCGCAACGCAGATCAAGGAGGAACAAGAAGGCCAAGGAAAAGAGTCAACTTCGCACTCGCAACAGCCAGACACCGGGGCAGCGTCTGCGACCACCCCCATGTCTCCAAGTGAGGACATTGGCGAGATCTTGCCGGATAGATATGAGAACAACGTTCCTGTTTTCAAGCCAACCCTGAAGCAGTTTCAAGATTTCAAACTCTTTGTATGTTTGTCTTCTTCCTGTGCTATGACACCAGGTCTCGCTGACTGAATTGATTTCTCTGGGGGAGTGCAGATGGAAAAGGTAGATAAATATGGCATGAAATCCGGCATCATCAAGATCATCCCTCCCGAGGAATGGAGGAGCGCGCTGCCGCCACTGGACGAGCTGGTCAAGCAAGTCCGCGTCCGCGAGCCAATCAAGCAGGAGATCATGGGCCAGAATGGAACCTATCGCCAGGTCAACATTCTCCATCAGCGATCCTACAACCTACCCCAATGGCGTCAGCTTTGCGAACAGAGCGAACACCAGCCCCCTGCGCGACGAGGAGAGCGACGAGCCAATGCCGAAAAGACCAAGCCCGCTCCTCGAAGCCGCGCTGCTCCGCCTGCTGCGAACGGTACAGCATCGAACAAGACCACGACGACAAGTACAAACACGGGCAGAGGAAAAAGAAAAGGCAGGGTTACGCGAGGATCGGCAAAGGCCGCTACGGATGAAACCGACGATCCCCCCATCACTCCCGTGTCACCACCGCCCGAAGACGAAGACAAACCACTAGAGTCAATTGAGGAGGAGGATGTCAAAGATGAAGCTTGCGAGGATGAAGAGAGCCTTCCCAGAGTTGGCCGAATGGGCTTTAGCAGGCAAGGCAAGCCCAAGATGCAATCGACATCGGCACGGCGCAAGTACATTCGTCGCGAAGGGTCGGCCATGATCGACGAGGCAGCTTTCAAGGACTGGGATTACCGTATGGACGTGTCCGACTTCACACCCGAGCGCTGCGAAGAGCTGGAAAGGATATACTGGAAGACTTTGACATATGCCCCTCCGCTATACGGTGCCGATCTCCCCGGAACCTTGTTCGCCGAATCGACCGAAAATTGGAACCTCAACAAACTCCCGAATCTACTAGATGTTCTGGGCACAAAGGTTCCTGGCGTCAACACGGCGTACTTATACTTGGGTATGTGGAAGGCGACCTTTGCATGGCATTTAGAAGATGTCGATCTTTACAGCATCAACTTCCTTCACTTTGGTGCTCCCAAGCAATGGTATAGTATCTCGCAAGCGGATGCCCGTCGGTTCGAAGCCGCCATGAAGAATATTTGGCCAACCGATGCCAAAGCCTGCGATCAGTTCCTCCGCCACAAGTCCTTCCTGATTTCCCCTTCCCACCTCAAGCAGCATTACGGCATCACGGTCAACAAGGTTGTGTCCTATCCCGGCGAGTTTGTCGTGACCTACCCGTATGGCTACCACTCTGGCTACAACCTGGGCTACAACTGCGCTGAGGCTGTCAACTTTGCGTTAGACAGTTGGCTCCCCATGGGCAAGATTGCCAAGAAGTGTCAATGTGCGCAAGCTCAGGACAGTGTCTGGGTGGATGTCTACGAGATTGAGCGTAAGCTGCGTGGCGAATCGACGGAGTACGAGGTAACGGAGGATGAGGATGAAGACGAGGATGAGGACTCGGACGAATCAGACCAAGATACCGGATTGCCTAGTCCGCCATCAGGCTTGGATCACAGAGGAGGAAAGAGAGTCAGGGCAGCGGGGCAAAAGAGAAAACGGGAGGCAAACAACAGGGGTACAGAAGGGAAAGCGAAAAGAAGTCGCTTCCGCCTCAAGGCACCTGTCGAGCCGCCGTGTTGTCTATGTCCCAACGATATTCCCGGCGCAGAGATTATGCCTACGGACGATGGTCGCAAGGCCCACCGGATGTGTGCTCTATATCTACCCGAGACATACATCGAGACCGTCGACGACCAAGAGATCATTGCGAATGTGGCGGGCATCGACAAGGCCCGCTTGGAGCTCAAGTGCTTGTACTGCCGGTCCAAGAAGGGTGCTTGCTTCCAATGCTCTCAAAAGAAGTGTCCCAGGGCGTACCATGCCACATGCGCAGCTGCCGCTGGTGTGTTTGTGGAGGAAGGTGATGTGCCGGTTATCGGAGAGGATGGGACGGAATACAAGGAGCAGGCGTTTGAGTTCAGCTGCCGCTTCCACAGAGTCAAGAGAGATCGCAAAACAGAAGGCGCTATTCTCGAAGACGATCCTGTGGTGCGCAAGACTGCAGAGGCACTCAAAAAGAACGACATCTGTCAGATCCAGTACTATCAGGGTAACATTTTCGCCGGTGTGGTGGTGGAGAACCTGCATGAGGAGGAGACCCTCCTGCTGGATGTTATTCCGAGCGGTGATAGGATTCAGGTTGAGTGGAAATGGCTTCTCGTGGCCGACCCGTCCGAGTACAGGCTGCCTAAGGCATCACCCAACGCCATTCCGATGCCGACCTCGAAGAAAGCCAAGCAGGAGATCAACGCCAAGCGCCCGGTCGAGGAGATACCGAGGAAGGGCGATGAGTTCTCTACTGGATTTGTCTGGGCCGAATTCCACACTGGCGAGCCCGACAAGAACAAGGAGCAAGTCAAGATTGATTTGGACAAGGAAAATCAAGTCTGGCATTACCTGGGACCGACGTCTACGGAAGCCAGAGCGCAATACACGGAGAACCCGTCTAGGAAGCAGCACAACTCCAAGAGCAACTTTCTGGACACTATACCCAAGCCGCCTCCAACCTACCCTGTTCAAGTTGCCTCGGCACCTAGGAAATCGTTGTCGGCAACGTACCCGACACAACAACAGCAGACCTTCATCGCGTCACCAGCATCGTCGTCGGCCCTAGCATCCAAGCAGGATAAGCCATATGTGTACAAACCACGCAAGCCTGTCCAGCCACACACACAGTTCAACGTTCAATATACGTCGCACATGTTCATGCCAGCACCGCCTCTTCCGTCACCGTCGTACGTGCCTCAGCAGAACCACCCGTTCTACCAGGCACAATTGCGACCGAATGTCCCGCAAACGGTACACCCTTCCCAGGTGTTTAGCCCTCAGCCCATGCACTACGATGGTCAGCGTAGGATGTCGCAGTCAACTCAACCGTATCCTCAACAGCAAATGTCACCACAGCATTTCGCTCAACACCAAATGCCCCAGCAGATGCCGCAACACCAATTCCAACCGCAGCAGCAACAGCAGCAATTCCAACATTTCCAACCGCCGCAGCAGCATTATCAGCAACAACCTCAGCAGAATTACCCACAAACCCCTGTCCCGCTGCCGCCCCAGGCTTTCCAGTTTCAGCAGCAGACTTGTGCTCCTTTACCACAACAGGTTCAGCCTCAACAACCGCAACAGCAGAGTCCTGTTCCTTTGCCACAGCAGGTTCAAACTGCACTGCCTGAGCAGCAGCAGCAGCAGCAGCAACAGGTTCACCATGTTCAGCAGACGCCTGTTCCTGTACCCCAGGTGCCTTTGCAAGCTCAACAGTCAACTCAGAGCTCTCCGCAGCAACAGCAACAACCACAGCCCCAGGACAAAGAACCTCACCAACCGCTGCCGCCGGTAGATCAAACTCAGCCACCATCTCCGCCGCAACCTCTGCCGAAGCCAAGACCCTTCAAGGTGTACAAGGCATCCCAGTTTAGGAAACTCAAACTCCCCGAGAAGAGGCCAGGCGCTAAGAAAGACCTGCCTGAGGCCTTTGCATCCCGAAGGTTCTCGTTTGCTGGCATTGACCGGATCCATGACCTCCCAGGAATTGTATGGCCTCCGAAAAACCTGATTTCAGGCCGTGAAAGTCAGTGCAGACGGGGAGTCTGGGCTCCATTGAGTGACGAGGGCATCATGCCGGCTCCAATGACTTCGTCGCTGCTTAAGTGTGCGGATGATGATCAGAGGGTGTCTCAAAAGTACGAATTTTTCCAGGTTTATAATAACAAGTAAGTTTGCTTGTGAACACTTTGAAAGCAAAGGCTAATGAAGACTAGGGATCCGCTGAAGCACCACTCGCCTTATAAGCCGGCTGTGACTGAACTGGATGAGACCACTGGGAAGAAAAAGCTCGTTCACGCCGACTTCACGAATGACTATGCGGAAAACTTTACAAACTTCATGAAGAATGCTCGTGAAGCCTTGACGAGAAAGGACGTTTCGGAGCCTAGCTCGAGACCAGCGACCAGTCAAGCTCACTCACGCAACACTTCCTCTGCATCTGCTCAGCCGAACGATAGTCAGTTTCAGCAGAACTCTTTCACTGGCCAGCCTACGCAGCACCCAAGAGTCCAACCCCAGTACACTTACAACCAGCACGACGCTGGATTTGGTGAATCTTCATCTTCGTCGCCGTTTTCAAGTCACTCAGTTCCAGCACCAGTGCTGTTCGGTTCTGCCTTTGAGCAACAGTCTGGATCTCATCAAGATATAAGGCAGCAGTACCAAGGACCTTGGCAACAGCAGTATCAAAACCAGGGCAGTCATAACATCTGGATGGGGAGTCCACAAATGGTGGGGAGCCCTCAACCGCAGATGTTCTCCCCTTCGCCGACACAACAGGGGCATCATCATCATATGCCTCAATCGCAGCAACAGGCTCAGAACCAGCAGCCTCAGCCGCAACAGCCGGCGAAGCCGCAGTTTACAAAGCAAAGTCATAGTCCGATTCCGTTGCCGCCGTACGTGCAAAAGATGAATCAGGCCAAGCCATCGCCGTTAAGCCAACCTCCACAGACAAACAGCCGGCAGGGAAGTCAAGGAGCTTCCTCGCAATCCCAGTCTCAGAAGCGGCGACAACGAAAATCGGCTCAGCAGGCGTCAGAGCAAACTATCTCTCCTACCCAGTTAAGTGTGGACACGGGAGCAGGGTCGACACCGCAAGGTCAACCTCCAAAGGCACAGCAGACGTCGAATAACCCCTGGACGAATACGAACAATGTCCATCTGCAGTTTCCTTCCACGCTCAATGCTTCCTCACAACAACCAGCGCCAGCCACTGCAGCACAACGACCCTCTCAAAATACCTCGGACCACACGCCCGCAGAAGCAGATACAGGGGCCCACGAGCAAGAGAGCGGAGGGGAAGAAGAAGCCCATGACGTGGAAGAAAATTCGTACTTCAATGAAGCCCAAGGTTTCCAAACCCCTCCCTTGCAGCCCCAAACTCTCTCCTCCACCGACGTCTCCCCTGACCAGAACTACTTTCCCCTTTCCGCACCACCACCCACCCCGCTTGGCGGCATCGCTTTCGGCGGTGTCGGCGTAGGAGGCTTTAACCCAGGCTCCGCCTTCAACGTGGCTGCCCTCAGCGGCGGCATTGCCGGGCTGGGCGCCTTGGGTACGCTAGGCGGCTTGCTTGGCGGTCTTGAATCGGGTGCTAGTGGGAATGGTACGTGGAGCGGACGGGCGAGAGGGCTCAGTAGGAGTGGAGATAATGTGTTTATGGGGAGTACGAGTGCGATAGAGGATGGAGAGGAGGGGGAGTTGGGGTGTGGGATGGGGGGAGGAGGAGGAGGAGGAGGAGGAGGATCAAGGGGGGGACATGCCGGTGGTAATGGTGGGACGGCGTTAAGTCGGCAGGATGTGTTGGACAAGATTTTGTCGAATTTGCATCGGTTGGGGACGGAGTAGAGGGATGAGTTGATGGTGGTGGTGAGGATAATCATTGCATGCATTGTCTGAGTGGTGTGGTGTGGTATTCTGTCTGATTGAAAGTTTTTACAAAACGTGGAGTTTGTTATGGTTGTTGTTTTGTTCGTACTCGATCGAACTGGTGGTTAACGGTATGCAATGGTATGCAATGGTATGGTCATGGTCATGGTCATGGTTATGGTGATGGTGATGGTTATGGTTACATGGTTATGGAAGTGAATGGAATGGGATGGGGTTTACGTATAGGTACCACAACAAAGTATAGTAGGTTTAGGTTAAAAAAAATTATGTATTATCATGTATGTACGGTGGTGATGAGTTCATGTAGTATGGTACGGGGCTTGGAATGGAAATGAAAATAGGGTTATAAACAAAGATAAGAAGCGAGGCATACACGGAGGCAATGGAGCGGGGTGGTGTATATCAAATGGAACATAAAAAAAGGCCAACAATTACAAAGAGTGCTCAGATGCATGAAGATGGCAGTCGGTGGTTCCGGTTGGCTTCGGTTGGCGGTATTCTGCTTTTGGGATTTCGAGAGAAGACTAGCGAGTTTACACGGCGATGATAGGAGTGGTTGCACGTGAGCTGAGTGAACTATCAAGATTAATAAGCCAAAAGACAAGACAAGACGGATCTCATTTATCCACACATGACGTTTCTGACATCCTCTTCATCACCTGGTTATATACAGTATACGATATACCGCTGACGCATTAATTCCTAACAGCAAAGCTATGTACTCTATATAGCCAAGTCCGTCCGTCCGTCCGTCCGTCTCATTGGATGATGGCAAACGCTTCGATATATTGTATAAGCTGAAGTTGAAGTTGAAGGTTGAGTAAGTAGCGTATTTACACAACGAATAGTAAGTACCTAGTGAAGTTATGTTTTTCTGTATGGTCTGGATTATTAAAACAGTTGAAGGTGGAAAGATTAAAGCGAAATCCTGCTTTTGGTTACGGAGTTTCTTGGCCCTGTTTTTTTTTTTTTTTTTTTTTTTTTTTTTTTTTGGTGGTGAGTTGAAGGTTAAAGGGGACAGAGGGCGGGCGGACTGACGGGACGGGAACTATAGTTCCAAGGCCGAAGGGGTCCTGGACAACTTGAGTGAACCGAGGGTAGAAGGGCAAGGCAAGGCAAGGCAGGGTACTAAGTGAATGGCAAGATACTCTCAAAAAGGGGGTTGGGTTCCCTTACCCCTTATATAGCTCGATCTTATTGCCCTGTTCTTCTGTCTTTGAAATTCTCTCCGAAACGGCGGCGGCGGCGGCGGCGGGAGTCGGGAACTAGACTGGACTACACACACTATACTAGTGTAGGTGCCGATGTTGACTACGCAAATTCGACGATGTGCCCGAGTTCGCTGCATGCATGAAGTAAGTAATAATGTATGTATGTATGTCTCTTGCCATTGTGTCGTTGTGTTATTGTGTCATCGGCCGACGGGTTTGTGTGCATTGGGTGGTGGTTTATGGATTTCCATGACTGCCATGGTAAAAAAACAAGCAGGAAAGAACCTGAATTTAGGGGTCCTTTTTTTCTTGTCAACGGTCGACCCTGACTTTGAGAATCCCAGCTGTCACCAGGAAAGGAAAAGGATGTGCAAAAAGTTGATGAAGTGTGGATTGCGGACCTAGGTAGGTACTCAATGTTAGTTAGTGGTGTTGGGGAAAAGAAGGGGGTAGCTGAGGTCTGGGGGTGATGAGCGCAGGTCGGGTCGGTGACGTCAAGGTATGAATGACATTGCCATGTTATCGGGATGCGCATGGAACCTCATTGGTGAGTTGGGATGAGTATCGCACGCATAAACAGATCATCAACGGGCATTGACAAGAACCAACATCATTATTGCGAGTTTCCTTGTTTTGCGTAAGCATTTGCGCAAGCACGGTAGTGAGGGGGAATGGATATAACATCAATGGGGATTCTCGCCGGATCTTCAGGGTCCTTTTGGGTTTTTCTTCTTTTTCTCCTCAAGGTCGAATTGACAAGGAAGCAAACACAGCATTACAGCCACTATAGACAGCTAGCTGTTAGTGCATACGCGGGGAACGACGTATAATCCCTTAACGGCACTTATACACCACGACGACCAATCACGTTCAGCACCTCACATCCTCGAACCACAATCACAACGACAACGGACATCAACGTCAAAACACACCAAACAAACTATACAGAAAAAAGAAAGAAAAAAATGCCAACAGTCATGGGCCTGACCACCGACTCCTCCTCCAAAACCACCACCACCCTCGGCAACCAAGACCTCAAAAAGCCCAACGGCGGCTCCCGCCTCGACACCATTTCCAAACGCAACCACCACGCCGCCAAAGAGATCGAGACCCTCTTCTGGCGCTGCCTCTGCGACGACCCCTCCGCCGCCCCGGAATACATGGCCGAGGACTGCATCCTCATCAACCCTCTCTTGTCGTCGCACCCCTCCACCACCCCGCTATCGAAAGACAGCGAGCCGAACATACTAGAGGTGTTTGAAAAGGCGGAACCGTGGGCTGGGTTCCGGTTCCATGGAGATCCGCTGGTGGTGGAGATTGATTTGATGGCTGTGGCGTTGGTGTACAAGGTTAGTTTGTATACGGTTGATAAAAAGGGCAAGGGGACGAGGGAGGTGGTGGCGAGTGTGAGTAGTAGTTGGAGGCAGACGGCGGGGGCGGATTGGGTGTTGGTGGCGCATCATTGTCAGTATGTTGATGATGAGTGAGTGGTGAAGGAGAGGGAAGGGATGGGAAGAAAAGGAGAGGAATAGGGATTCGATATAGCCGATGGGAGTTTGTTGGAGGGGTTCTGGTTGAAGAGGTTTGAAGCGGATGGGTTTTCTGTCTGTTTATTTGCTTGCTTGGTTGTCTTATGATGATGGAAAGCTTTCCTTTGGGCTTTCACTTTCAAGTAGCTTTTGGACTCGGATGGTATTCGTCTGTAATTACATCTGTACACTTAATGGGCTCGCTCGCGTATGTCAATACCTAATGCCGTTATTTATGTTTTGTATCGTATCAAGCGATCTTGTTTCTCTTATTTTGGTCCGTGGCATGTTAGGAGGAAAGCTGCTGATTAGTTCACTTTTAGCTGGAAGGAGCGATTGTGCAAATGATTACGCCATCCAGGTTGATAGTCACGGCGAAGCAAACCAAACGGATGCACAACCGCCAGGCGAGCCTTGCCTCCGCTGCAAGACGGACTCTCTCCGCCCAACACGGACACAGAGAATGGCAGAGCAATCTTCCTCGAGTTTTGGCTGGTTTGTCGCCTTTCGGATCTGGACTTTCTCGTTTTGGATTGAACCCTTACTGACTATCTCTCTCTCTTGTGCCAGATGTCATCCCATGCTTACCCACGTCAAACCTGGGGAGAAACCGACCATCCAAGTGTTCTGTCCTCGAGTGACACCGACGAGATCGACGGATCACAAGGACGGAAAAAAGCAATCGAGCAACCACAGCAGATTACGCTTCTACCCTTGGAAGTCGGCCAAAGCTCGCCGTGTTTCGGCTGAAGAACCGCCGACGGCTGATGTGTCAACCGACAAGTCGCATACTCACATGTCGAATGGAAATCAGTGGCCTACCATCACTGCTTCGGAGTTCAGCCGTTCGAAGACTTTTTCGTTGCCCGGCTGTTATCGGAACTGCCCTAGAGAATGCCGTTCGGATCATCGATACACCAGAATGATGCTCGGCGCATCTTACTACTGCTCAGCCCCGAAGTCCCCTTAATAAAGCCACAAATTGCCCACCGTCCAATCCAAGGACCATCATCAGCTGCCACACAAACAAAGACATGACGCACTCTCTCCTGACTGGTTGCTGTTCAGTGTGGCTTAGAGTATTGCGAAAGGGCCTTATAGCACGGAGCGGCTGAACTCAATAAAGTGCGCGAACCTATTGGCTGGCCTTGATGCCCAACACCCTACGCCATACTCCCCTCCTCAGCTTCATACTTCAATAATACCGCCCGGAGGTAATGACCAGCAAGTCCAAAGCCCAACCGTGAACTTTACAAGCTCGGGCTGTTCTTAGTCTACCGTAGCAAGCAAGGTGTGACTTTTGAGGAGCCGAAGTCGTCTTAAAGACCATCTGGGGTACGTTCTCGATCTTTCTATTGCAGTTTGCGTCGGCCACTGTATTGAGCCTGTTATGTGGAGCTCGTTCTGACAAACTCTCTCAGATAAAGGCACAAAATCGATATCTTCCAGGCCATCGCTTGACAATTCGAACCTTCGGACGACGTAAACACTTGGCTGCCTGCAACAGTGTCGTGAACGAACAACGAGCCATATCGGGTGTCTCAAGATATGCCGCCCCTCAGCTACTATACGTATGTTCGAAATCACTTCATTCTACACCCCAGTCAATGGCGGTGAATATGAATCCGTCTCTGTTCCTGTCGAGGGCTTGTTGACTCTCAACTGACAAACAACCAGAATTGGTGAAGACCAGGGCGAAGACGAACTTCCCCCAGCGGGCCTGCCCCTTACAGAAGAGTGCGGGAATTCCATCCGTTTATTGACACTCAGGGAACCGAATTCTCATGAGGGAGAGACATTGTCGCTGGAAATGCATCTCTCAACAACATCTGAGGAGTACATTGGGCTATCCTACGAATGGGGCCAAGCGAAGCCGGATGATCCAATAGTCCTTGTCAACAATCGCCAAGTTCAGATTCGAAAGAATCTCCACGAGGCTATACGGCAGATCTTCGAACACTATTCAAATTACCGGAAGCAACGTCGTGAATGCAAGTGTCCGCACCATCTTGGAGCCACGGTTGTGGATGAGCGCGCGCTAGAAGACCAGGACGACTCCGTTCCATACCTTCCGTGGGATCGCCGTCGTGGTCCCCTCGTGGATACTTGCAGATGTGGAGACAGGCCTAAGAAGGATTGCCATGAAAAATCATTAGGTCCTTGGACTAATCTGGGGGATAGCAGTTTTTGGGCGAAATACGACCCACCCCGACTATGGATTGACGCCCTCTGCATCAACCAAGACGACAACAAAGAGAAAAGTAGCCAAGTCGGGAGGATGGGTATCATCTTCAGCTCTGCCAAACTGGTGCTTTCCTGGATAGGGTTGCCCAGAGATGGTAGTAATGATGCGCTGAGAATGATGAGAACTCTGAGCATGTCATACCCAGAGCTGCCCGAATTCGTGGCAACAGGCGGCCTTACGGACAGCCTGATAGTTTCGATTGCGTCCCTTTGTGAACGTACTTACTGGCGCAGAGTCTGGATACTGCAGGAATTATACCTGGCCCGAAAGTACGTGGTCATGTGTGGTCCTGAGTCCATCGCATCAGAGTCGTTTGACGAGGCTCTGGCCCGCCTTGCACGCACACCAACCCGCCATGACAGCATCGACCGAAGCGCGGCAAAGGCGATAGTCGCTGCAATGTGGGAAAAGAGGCTCTACTCGTTCGTTCGATGGCTTCGTATCATTCTTGATGCCAATTTTCAAGCTACCGTCCCGCATGATTATATTTATGCGCTACTCTCCATCTCTTCTCCCGCCCTCTTTGACATGGACAAACCAGATATTGACAGGACCAAGATCATAGTGGACTACGACAAGACAATTGCGGAAGCTTACTGTCAGTTTTTACAGTCATTCGAGGTAGGCCAATCATTGATGAAGCACAGCCACTGCTTCCTGAAACTTGCGCTCAAAATGGGTCTTTCACACGAGGAAGGTGTCGCTCTGCTGGATCCGGAGCATTTGAAGAGACGTGAGGCGGCAAAGGGCTCGAAGAGTAATTTCGATAATTGGCTCTTTGATCTCTGAGTCTAACCAGCAAGTCACAATACTCGAGGGAGAGCGTTACGCATCCGGGGCTAACAGAGTCGGTGTTTTGAGCCCTCGGCGCTCGGCGGTTTGAAATATCCACACAAAATCCTTTGGGTTCCTTTGGTTCAAAGACCCTCAATCGAGCCCTGTCAGTCGGCTCCCAGGCGGACGTCGAAGCGACGGAACCCCGGGATTACATATATGGTTTTCCAACACTTTTCCGGGACTGCGCTAATGGACTCCTTACCATCATACCGGTTTACGGCAAATCGGTGCGAACGGTCTTTTGCAATACCACGGAATTCTTGGCAAGCAGCAACATGTCTTTGTAGTTGCGCCAGACCGAAGTTTCAATAATGTCCACATGTAGCAGGTAAGTATCTATTCTACATTCTTCGACGATCATTGACACCATTCCGCCTCAACCACCGTTTGCCAACAACCACAGTCTCACGTTGTGTCCGACGGAAGATCCATCCCACCTCGATTTTCATTTCAAGTCTGCAAGCCTTTCGTCCCTCATCAACCAAGCCGCCAATCAGGCATTTCCCCTCTCGGCGGATCACACCGTTTTGATTGGTTAACCGCCACATCATGCAGCACTGCCTTCGAGGGTGTGGCTGGGCAGGGGGGCCTCTCACCAAGCCGATATGACAGCTGACGTTGAAATTTCCCTTCCGTCGCTGGTTTTCTTGAGATGATAACTCTATCAACCACAATCCTTCTACTAAGTCACCAAGAGGTCAACAATAGGCCTTTGCTTCGACAAAATCTTTTCTTCGTCATCAACACAATTCAGGTCAATGGATATCAACGGATGAGACGTAAAGGTATATCATGGAAGCCCTTGAAGTGGGTAGGACGGTAAGGGCATGGTATGGAGCCTTGTCGCGCTTTACACAAACTGAGAGCTAACTCCTGTAGTAGCAATGCAGGCCCCGACCAAATAACTGGCGAACGTTACCCGTATCGACAACTCGAGCATGAAAATACCATCCGTCTTCTCTTCATTACACCGGGATCCGGGGAAGAGATTAGCTCTACTTACTCCCTTTTACATGCGGAACTAGGCAACATCCCCTACCAAGCACTTTCCTACGAGTGGGGATTACCTAGTGATGACGACCCAAACATCACCATTGACGGCCACACGGTCAGGATCCGCAAAAATCTTTCCGAGGCACTCAAACAGATCAGTTCAGTCATTCGTTATCTCGACTTCCTGCTCCTTTGGATCGATGCACTGTGCATCAACCAAAGTGACGATGGCGAGAAAAGCCAGCAAGTCCAGAAGATGGGGAAGATCTTCTCAAGTGCGGAGCAGGTCCTTGCCTGGACTGGACCGATGGGAAACGACAGCGACTATGCGATGGATATCCTCAACTCCGCGCCTCGGGATTGCATATTTGATCCAGACCTTTTCGAAAACTACCGTGCGAGGACAGCCATTTTGGCCTGGTGCAATCGTCCCTACTGGAAAAGGATATGGATCATCCAGGAACTCTTCCTAGCGAAAAGGCTTGTTTACATGTGCGGTTCCAGGTCCATCTCTGAGCACGGGAATGCACTTGACAATTGCCTTTGGGTCATTCTTAAGTCAAGCTCTCAATCGCCATCCGGGCTTGTACCTGACAATCTTGAGTATTGGACCAAGGTGCTCCGTAACAGACAGGTTGTTAAGCGGAGCCTGCTGGACTGGCTTTATGTTTGCGCCACTAGCCATATCATGGCCACCGACGCAAGAGATTATATCTACGCGGTACTCTCGATATCGCATGAAACCCGCAGCTGCCTTGCTCAAATGATCCCTGACTATACCAAATCAGCCGAAACGGTTTTCGAGGATTTGAACACCTTGATGATGGATGAGAAGGCTCGAGAAGGGTGTGAATCGTGTATTTGCAAGGTTGAGAGAATCGATCATATCGAGAATAAGATCGTCAATGGGTGGTTGAAACAGACAGTTGGTCTAAACGTGAAAATTGGGTGGCACGACAGATCGGCATACCCCTCTTGCAACTCTTGTGGACGTCCAAAACGGACATACAGTAAGGGAGAACTTTGGCTGTCGAGATACTGGGGGGAGAGGGTAGGGGTAGGAGGAGGAGGAGGAGCCCGTGCTCGGAACCAGAGAGTCGGCGGGGCGACTTATACCGAACGCCCAGAACAGCAATGAGATGACCAGCGCCAGGGGAGGTCTTGAGTTATTTCTACCTGGCAGCAACAATCCGGAAGTGGGAATGAAAATAGAGCATCTACATGATCGTTCCCCTTCCCAACAGCTCCTCCGACCGCCAGCCAACCGCCAGCCAAATCCGGTATCTGATCCCAAAGTCCCAAATCCCCCAAGCTGCCTACATGTACCCATAACGTCTACCCACACACACCCTACAATATCGCTAGAGGCAGGTATACTCCCCATTCAAACCGTCACTTCCCCTTTCCCCTTTCCCCTTGCTCAATCACCCACTTACCCAACTACCCCATCACATCCCCCACCCCCTCCCCCCTCCAATAACAAACCCACAACTCATACACCCGACAGTACTCACACCCCGGCCACATGGACGGATCCGCATGTAACTCGTCGTGTTCCTGAATCTCTGCCGCTTCAAAAGAAGGCGGTGGTTCTCGCGGTGTGGGACGTGGTCGTGGACGCGGAGGGACGATTTGTCTCTCTTGGACAAGTTCTGCGTAGGACGGTAAAGGGAGGTCTGTCCTTCGGGAGGAGAGGCGGGCGTAGGGGGGCGGCGGCGGTGGTGGTAAATGTAGAGTGAATTCGGATGTTGGAAGGAGTGGCGGGGATGGTGGTGGGGAGGGCGGTGGTGGTTGGCGGTTGGGAGGGGTGGGTGGTCTGTTGAGGTTGTGGTTGCTGAGGGTGTGGTTTGAGTGAGGGGGGGAGAGGGGGGTGGTAGTTGTTGTGTGTGAGGTTGTGGTGGGGGTCAAGATGGAGGTCGAGATTGAGGTCGAGATTGAGGTCGAGGTTATGGCCGAGTTGGTGGTTAAAATGGAGGTGCAGCTTGAGCTTGTTGTTGGTCTGGTGTTGGGTTCAAGCTGTGGTTGCTCTGCGTTGGGCGACATGGAGGAGAGTTTGGAGTGTCGCTTGTCGAGGGCATCATTTTGGTATGAGGGAAGTTCTGGAGAATTTGAAGGCATGGTGTGTTTTCTTGGTATGCCGTTCTGTCGACGGGGGCGGAGGTAGTCAAAGATGCCCATGTCGAATCTTCTTTTGCTTTGTTGGTATTCGTTCTGGTGTATGTATGGTATCATTGACTTGGCGTTTGAGTTCAAAAAAACCGTGAGCAGAGGAGAGTGTGTGGAACATGAAACGTCTTTAAATCTCAACTACTCTGGCCATATATATATATATATATATATATATATATATATATGTTCTGCATTTACTCCCCTCCCTGAAGAAATCAATCATGTGTATGTGTGAGGAATAAATCCGGGCATATACAGCGGACCTGGAAGTCCGTAGGTTGAGGTTCCTCCGGCGCGCGCGGGCGGGCGGGCGTCTGAGCCTTGCATGAATCTTTGTTTCACTCTCTGCCTTGGGTGGTGGGTGGAAGCCTTGGCCGAATTACTCTAGTCTAGCATACATACCTGTTTTTTTTTTTTTTTTTTTTTTGTTCCGGGCATGTTCGGTAAAGCCAAGAAGGATGATGTGCAGATAACGAAGAACCCCCGCCCTGGTGTTCGGAGACATGCACCTATACCTACCTCCAATGTGTAATGTGATGCGGCGCAGTTATTATTTTATTATTATTATTATTTGTCCCCTTTGTTGTCGTCCGTTCGGTCGGTCGGTTGATCGGATCTTTTGACCATTCATTCATAAAAACCTGGGGGATCGACATGCTGCTGGACTAGTGTAGTGTAGTGTAGTGTATGCATGGAATATTCGCAGTGCTTTCCGGATTGGGACACCGTAGCAAGTAATTAACTCCGCTATTTAGCCTTGCTTGCTTACTTGGACTTCGGGGCAAAATCGTATCGTTCGGTGTCGAGATGGAGATAAAGATGGTGCATAGGTAGGTACTTGATAAATAGGTGTCCTGTAATATTGTTCCGTTTGGTGCTGTACAAGTGAAAGAAACTGCCTAATCATCATGGTGTGCAAGGTTACTTACTCAGCTGACTGCTGATGGCGCTGCGAAGAGGGATTATGATACCACGATGGGAGGTCGAGAATTAAGAAAAAAGAAAAAAAAATGAAGAGCAAAAAGAAGGAAAAAAGGGAGGGAGGAGAAGGGAACGGCCAGGAAAGCATATAGTAAATGGTACTAGGTCAGAGGAGCATGGGACTCGTGAAGGCGTCGACGATAATGTCCAGTTCGTGTGAGAGCCGTAGCCACAGACTTACAGGCCAAAATCCACTGTTAGCACCCCTCAACTTCAGCACCCCACCCACTGAAAGCGTCAGGCAGCTTGTTCGTCCACAGCACAGCAGACACTTGTCGTTTGGATCGCTCTATCTCAACCTTCTATACATGAAAGGAAAACTGATTACTATAAGCAAGAAATCACCCTAGTTTCCAATCGAGGTCCAAAATATTCTACACTGGAAATAATGGAAAAATGTGTTGATTCTCTCGAGTGTCCGCGATCAATTCTACCATTGCCTGCTCGGCTTTCGTCGCGGCCGTTGGTAACCTACCTACCTACCTACCTACCTAATCACGGCAGTCGATCCAGTGCACTGCCCTACGGCACCCTCTGCTAGAGGTACCTACTGCGGGCAAGATGGCGCGGGGATGCGCTAACAGCTGCCCCCCGCTTCTCTACCTCTACGCTTTCGTTCTAGCATTGGCGAGGATCAGATACAACACCATCTACTACACAAACATCTCAGGCACTTGCCACGTTAGTCAGTTAACGACACTTTTCAACCAGCAGCAAGTCCACTCCCACTCCCACTCCCAATACCACGTCCTAACTCTTGCTATCTGGATGGATGCTCCATCATGACCACATCCAGGACGATACCTCCTGTCCTCATTCCCACCAACACATCTACTCACACATCCAGTTACTTCCCCATCACAAAACTCGTTCATAACAGGACCCGTCTTTTACACAACTTTGTTTTATTATTTATTCATTTTTCATCACATTCCCGCCTTACCTCAGTAGACATCGGTTGGATTTGCCTCGGCATTGTCACCACCAGCAGCAGCAGCAGCAGCAGCAGCAGCAGCAGCACCAGTAGATTACTCACCTGAACATGCCATCACGCTTCCTCGTTTATCGTCCGGCATGGCGCGAGGGGCATCGAATGCGATTGCGGAAGATCAAGCATGGATCATGGAAGGAAGTGCGAGAATGTTTTGGTGGTACGGTCAACACTTCATTATGGACTCTTCATTTCATCAACATCGATGTAATCATCAAGTTTCATCTTTTCATTACGTTCCCCCTTCCCTCCCCTTTTTCATTTTCTCTCTCTCTCTCTCTCTCGCTTCAACAATGGTATAAGTTAGGTATCCAACACAAACACAAAAACGAAATCAATCCGCAGTCATCCATCCGCACTGCTTCTTTACTGTGACAGCAGCAACTTTTAGACAAACAGCTTATGGAACCACCTCTTCCAAGCAGGCATAGCCGCCAACTCAGCTTGGTACGCATTGATCGACTCCCAATCATGTTCGCGACGGCCCGTATCAACATCGATCTGGTCAACGCGGAGCCAGCTCGTGCGCTTCCAGATGAAACCGCCGATCCAAAAGACGATGACGACAGGGAGGGCAAGGTACTGCACAAAGAAACCCTCGACTGTGTTGAAGCCGCCGCCGGGAGGGCAGATGGCTACGTAGAACTGTTGTTGCACTTGTTAGCACCTGTCACGAGATAAATCGAGCGAAGCGAGCGACAGGAAAAAAAGAAAACATACCTGAGCAATCAACACCAAAACAACCAACACCAGCCCCAGCCACGATCCCCACACACCGCCCGCAGCCCGGAACGGAATCTCCTCCACACTATGCCCCTTGAGCGCCCACGCCTTGCGAAAGCGAATATGGCTCAAGCAAATCGATCCCCACGTGAACAGCGCCGCCAGCCCAGAAAGCGAAAGCAACCAATCGAACACCGTCGGACCAGCAGCCGCCAAATTGACATACGCCAAGGGTCCAAACGCAATGATGGCCAGCACCGAGAAAAGCGGGCGGTTGGAGCGATCAACGTACGTAAAGATCTTGGGCGCGTACCCCTGCTGAGCGAGGGCAGTCAAGGTGCGCGAGCCACCATAGACGCAAGAAACACCGAGCGAGAGGACCGACACCAGAATAACCACATTCATGAACGAGTCGAAGCCCGTCAGGTTCGCGTACTTGCCCACCAGCACAAAGGGGGAGGCGTTGACGTTGATGAACGGGTTAGCGCCCAAAAGGTTCTCGTCGTCATAGGGGATGAGCAAGCCGACGAAGAAGAGACCGAGGATGTAAAAGAGGGTGATGCGCCAAAAGACTTGCTTGATGGCGCCGGGAAGGGACTTGACGGGGTTTTTGGCCTCGGCAGCAGCGAGACCGACGAGTTCGGTGCCCGAAAAGGCAAAAGCGGCGGTGACGAAGCAGGAGCAGAACCCCCTAAAGCCGTTGGCGAAGGCGCCGGGGGAGTACCACAGGGCGGCGCCGGTGTAGTGGTCGTAGCGGCTGCCTTTGGGACCGCCGCCGAGGACCATGACGAGGCAGATGATGAGGAAGACAATGGTGGCGCCGAGCTTGAATGCCGAAGCCCAGAATTCCTCTTCGGCGTAACCGAGGGTGCCGAAGACGTTGATGATGATGATGGCGACGAGGAAGATGGTGATCCAGACGGCTGTTTTTACGGTCAGTATCTCTGTTATAAATGAACCAATACGAGTATGTTTACGTACCAACACTTATATCCTGATTCCAGTACCCGACCGTAAACCCGCAAACAGTAAGTTCCAAAGGCAAGACAATCGCCCATTGGAAAACATAGTTCCAACCCATGGCGAACCCCCAAGACGGATCAATAAAGCGAGTCGAGTAGGTGTAGAAACCACCGGTAACAGGAAACATGACAGCCAGCTCACCCAAGGCGTACACGACGTTGAACATCATGACGCCGATGATGGCGAAATCAATCAGCAGCGACGCCGGCCCGCCGTTGTGCAGCGCCTTGCCGGACCCGACAAAGAAACCGGCGCCGATGGAGCCGCCAATGGCAATCATGTGCAGGTGGCGGGACTTCATGGTGCGCTCGATCTCGGTGCCGTCGCCCGTGTGGAACCGGCGGGGCTTGAAGGAGGCGAGGTTGAGACCGTTGCGCGTCATGAAGTCCTCCTGTTGCGCCTCGGCGACGCTGCCGGCCTCATAGGCGGGAAGAGTGGCCGCGTCGACGCGGGTCTCCTTGTCGTGGGAGCCCGCTGACCCTTTTTCTATGTCGGACATGGTGTGGTTTAGGGATGATTGGGTTGGAGGGAGGTGGGGAGAGAGAAAGGGGAAGAGGGGGGAGGGAGAGAGAGAGGTTAAAGTACTGCCAACACTTCACCCTCGGCTTGCCTGGAGAGACTGTGGGAGTGTCTACCCCAAAGGCAATGTATAATCACATACATAGGGGTCAAATGAAGACATCCTATCAGGAGCCAGATAGGCGACAGCGCGGAGAATTGCCTCTGCGGGAAGACTAGAGAGATAGAGGGTAGGCGTTGTGGCGATGGTGGTACAGCCAAGCTTCTTGGATTGCGGAGGTGGCCCTGCTTGAAGGGAAAGCCTCTCGGACGGTAGCCCGAGATGGGAAAGGCGTCGTCTGAAGAAGATAGGGTAGCCCCGAGGGGGGGTGATTTGGGGAGGTTAGGCCAAACACATGGCAGTCCATGGCCCTCTATCTCCTTGTTGTTGTTGGAGTGTGATGTACATACAAGCACTCCTATACGTGCAATAAGAGAGACAGTTGAGAGGAGGCAAGGATGATGTCGAAGCATGCAGATACTATCACAGGGCAGTAACCGGACCAAGAAAGGTTGCCCCCGTTTTCCACACCATCTGGCATGGAAGGCAACTAGAAAGATGCAACTCTTACCATTTCATCTATGTTCCGCAGCCAATGGGGTGTTGTGGCTGGACGGGCCTAGGCTACTGGCTTGTTGGAGTTCATACTGCTAAGGACCGAAACGGAAAGGACATGATAGGCCAAGTCTACCCAAGCTCGCCCAGCTGATGAACGGGGGGGAAGGAGGGAGGGGGAACTGGGTGAGCTGGTGAACTAAACTAGAACTGCATCGGGAATCAACACCGGCTTGGAAAAGTGAGAGATGATCAAGCTCGAGGAAAATAAGCGCTGATCTTTGGGTAAACCAGCCAGACCAGACGCCGACGGAGAAGGTAGTGTAGTGTAAGTGAACAAAGGAAGAGTGGTTCGACTGTCATTGACGACTTCACTGCTGAATAGGACCCGACTACATCATTGGTGTCCGTCCGAGATAGGCGATAAACCGGCGATGGACGGGAGATATGAGGCTTGGGGGTCCAGATGCTGTGGAACCACAAGGCAATGGACGGGAAGCACAACCCAAGAGTCCACTTGGTCCCCGTTGCTCTCGTGGTCTCCCCCAGACCCTTCTGTGCGCATGGTGATATCCACAAGTGATGATGGATGGTGGAAATAGAGACCATGTCCGTCCCCACCGGTGCTAAGGAACACTATGTAACAGGTGAGACTAACGGAATGACGAGCATACCATTGGTTGACACGATACAGAATCGCAGTATCACTTGAGAGAAGGGGTAAAGACATGTGGGGACTATTGTTGCTACCATGTGTTGCAACTGAGGAATCCGACAGCTCGGTGATTGTATTGTGACTTGGGATTGGGGTGCCTAACATGTCCCACGGGTGGCATCGTGATGATTCTTTATGCAAGCGTGTTTGTGTTTGCTGATCGCTTAGCGGCAGATTGATGAGTTTATTCTTTGTCCATATTCTCGACGGTGTTCTCAATCGAGGTCCTTTTCTTGGAGAGGGATCACCATTGAAGAAAAAAAAGACAGAAAACGGCGAGATGGAGAAATGGGGCAAAGATGAGCGGGCAAAAGCCAAGTGCTTAGGCTTGGTCTTGGAGTCTTGGTGTTTTCTTGGATGAGATGAAGTGTGGCTGGTTTCATTGCATGCGGCTCTTGGCTGCTGCTTGGCACCTGTGCCTGGTGGCCGCTGTTTTGGGACTCCACTGGACACCTGGTGCTCAACCACAACAGTGGAGTCACTGGCAGGTCCAGTGTCCACTCCGAGCCCAGACCACGCAAACAACCTCAAAATGCGGGGGAAGGGAAATTGGATCCACTCGGCTTCCCAACTCCTTCCTCCATCCAAGATCAAGACCAAGACTTGACCAAGACTTGCCCAGCGCTCTTTCCAACAAACACCAAGAGTGCGACAAGACCTTCCAAGCTTTTTGCTTATCACGGGCCGACACGGGCTGATAGGTGAAAACATGGATTGCTATCTTGTCCTATCTCGGGCGCTTGCTCTTAGGTGCCTGGACAGAGTGGACTCGGTGGACTCGGTGGAACTCGGTGGATCACGATAACTGCTCCAAGTCCACAATTACGGAGTCGCCCTGATAGCATAAGTCGACGACAGCTGATGTTGATACCATTTACCTCTATCTCGACCCTACATCGGCGATATTCAAATGCTACTTGGGACAAATTGGGAACGTCCAAGGCATGTCTGCGCCGAATTGCGGCATGGTCAAAGAACACCCCGAGCATCACTTCCGCCTCCCGGGATACACTTCATCATGTCAACTCCCACCACCATCAAATCACAAAGAACAAAGGAAACGCCAATGGCCAGATTATCAGCATCGGTTGAACGAGGCAAAGGTTGACAGTTGAGGCCAATTCCTGTGCCGAATTCAACGTCAGCGGCACTATTCTGCTCTGTCTTGCCCCCAATCCCTACATCCAGAAAACTACCACACCTCGAACCAGTTCTCGAATATCTCTTCAATAAACCCAAGCCACTGACAACAATCGACCGCTTGGTGGCGTCCGTGCTGGGGCGCAGGTTGACATTTGGTGGCATACCACCACACACTATATCACGTGTCCTAGTTCCGCTTTGGTCAAAGCCGGTTGTGCTGCGCTAACAATATACTAACAATTCTTGGGCTGGCCTGCGTTGACACTGCACTCCATTGACCACTTTGATGTCTGATTGAATGGCATATCGATTCTTCAATATTGCTTCACCCTCAGATATACGGAGGGACCACTGTCTTTACCCTTTACACGACCCCTTTGGCCTCTGAGTCTGTTGACCCATCCCTCGTCCCGTTGCCCATTCGTTAGCACACAGCAACACAACACCACACTGAAGCCCCCCATCGCGTATCTCACAGGAACCCTTCCATTCTCTGCCCAGACTTAAACATCCCAGAAATGGCCACACGCGCCAGCCAAGCAAAGCAAACAGACCAAGCGGTTCAAGCCAAGCATGGCTGTGTCACTCTCCTCCTCCTTGGGGACCCCCCACGCCAAGTACAGCGCCATCGCCAAGTTGCCCAACCAAGACCGCCATGTGGAAAAGAAGACGGTCAGTGTTGGCTCCAACGGGGACCTGCCTTCACTTCTTCACTTCCTTCCTTCCTTCTCTGCGGTGTTTTTATTCGGCGCTAGGGAACTGCCGTTCATGTTGGGTGCCTGGTGCCTATCGCCAGGTCTGGCCGGGATGCCTATCACAAACTACTGTAAGTGCTTCGGACCTATCTAGCGCTAAGTAGGTCGTCGCCGAGTTGCCGCCCCCCTTTTCTCTACATATTGTACAGTCAAGACACTGGTCTACGAGCTACTCATTATGCCATTTGCTTTGAGAGGGGATTCAGGTGCTTAACACATCAATTGAATTGTCAATCAAGTATCGGCGGTATGAGTATCAGTCCAAACCCGAAGCTCCTGGGTTTAAAGAGAACGAACTGCTGAATAGACACACACTTCGTCCTTCATCAAGAGGGCTCTAATCGCAAGAAAGACTAAAAGATTCGTGGACAAGACCCTGATGCCACAAGGTCCACGCATGCATGGTGTCACTCACTCCCGTCCCTCTCTTGATATGACATGATATGATCACCAGGCTTCCAAGGGACTTCTAGAAAGATAGGACATATGGCTATTAGAGTACTGTAGTACGGTGTGCGGGCGTGCGTGGTTTTTTGTGACTGTGTTGGTAGTACCTGCATTGCATCTGTCATCACGGCACCCTCGGGTTTTTTTTCATCAACGATCTACTCAGGTAGGTACCTGTCTAGGCGTTTCCTTAGTTTATACCATGGTGTATGTCCCTGTCAATACATCCCACTACTTACAATCTACATTCTGACATCGATTCCGCCGCGCATTAGTCCCAGCGTCAGTTGAGGCAAGGGTTAGTATTACTCTGCGGCGTTAGCATCACATTTTCTTATCTGTAAACGGAGAGAAAAAAAAAAGATAGAAAGAAAGAAAGAAAGAAAGAAAGAAATGAAGGAGAGAGAGAGAAAAGGGGAGTTGTGAGACCCTGAGTAGATGACAGCAATATGAAAAGGGTATATATATATTTTCTCTGTCGAAGAAAAGTGTTTTCGAAACCACATTCTCCCTCCGATGTGTGACGCAGAATGCAAAACGATTGAGACAGGGTAACCTCTTTCATTGTCGACGGAGAACGAAAAGGAGATTGAGAAGCTTGGTTCCCCATTACGAAGAAGCAAAAGACTTTATAGAAACAGTGTCAAGACCAAAAATGACAACGACGAAGGAGCAGAAAACTCAAACCACCAATCATTTCCTCCCTTTACCCCCTTACCCCATCCCTTCTACAACCCCCCCCCCCCCCCCCCCCCCCTTTTCTTTTTTCTTTTTCATCTTTCTCCGCCTACAACAATCAAGAATGATACAACCCCCATCTTAAAGTATATTCATCCCCCTTAAACGTCTGACTAACACACTGCGTATCCCCATAACTGCCCACCCTCCCCTTCCACTGATACTTGTCGATACTCTTCTGGATCCACTCGCTAATATCCAAATCGCCCACCAACGTCTGCAACCCCTTGGGCACGTCCGGCGTGCTCTCGATTCCCAGCGCACACGACCCGTGACTGACCAACGTCCGCTGCGTGCCGCTCATGTAGTGCCAGGTGCCTCCGCGAGGGGAAATGTTTTGGATAATAACCTTGCAGTCGTCGACGAGGGGAGAGCCGGCGGAGGTGGCGTTGAAGTAGCCGCCGCCGCGGCAGTGGTCTTTGTTGCCTGAGGAGCGTTTGGAGGGACGGACGAGGCCGGTGGTGGTGGGAGAGGAGGGGTTGGGTGAGATGTTTGGTGGGGAACTGGGAGGGGGGAGAGAGGAGAAGAAGGCGATGGCGGGGTCGGAGGGGTCGGATTCGGATTCGGTGTGGATGTGGTTGGTGTTAGGGTCGTCGGCGGGGATGGAGGAGTTGATGGGGTTGGTTTTGCTGGCGGACTGTTTGGAGGGCGTGGCGATGGGGGTGGCGGTGATGAGGGAGAGGAAGCTGGAGGTGGTGAGGAGGAAGGTGAGGAGGTTAGTTTGGAGTTGCATTTTTTTTTTTTTTTTTTTTTTTTTTTTTCGTGGAGAAATGTGGTCAGATTGAGGGTTTGGTATGGCTTCTTTGTGCGTTTGTCAAATGAGTGTCGGTGCGGTAGTAGGACCAGGGGCCTCTGATGCGGTTGCGGACGAGAAGGTTGTTCAGCTGAATAGACCATTCTCTCGGGAAAGGAGGTTCCTGCCAGAGGGTTTTATCCTTGAACATGGCTGAACAGGATTCTAACCTTGCCTTTGACTTGAAGTCTTGGGATTGTGGTTATTTTGGGTGGAGGAACCATGGAAAGAGCGGCATCGAGCGGGACGGGAAGCGGGTGGCTCAGGAGTGGACAAAGACTGTCGGAGACGGTTCAAAGTCCATTGTTTGAGATCTAAAAGGCAATATCTGGGCGTTCGTGCGGATGACCTGGTACCGTGTCTTGAGATTGTGTGGTGGAATGTTCACATGGGCTTGATGAGATGGCGGGATTGGACTACTGCTGATGATTGAGAATATCCCGATGGTCCGACTTGTTGGCAGCCAAAACGTCATATGAACAGGAAATTGTGGTCAGTTGACAAAACAGGGGGGATGAGTCGGTATCAGGGACAGTGAGGGGGGATTTACTGATACTTGAATCAGTTGAAAGTTCCTGGAAAGGAGTCATCAAATTCCTGGTACGTGAATACGGCGATCAAAATCATCGCGAAGAGGTTATCTAACACTGCACATGAAGCTACCTGATGACGGATGTAAGGAACTCATTATCTGTACATTATGCCTTTTCTTCTCTCCTTCAATCTTGCCCCACCTTCCCTCCTCCACTTCAAATTCGCGTAATGGCATCAACCTCTGCTCTCCCATTTCTTCCCATCCTTTCCACCATCTCGAGCTTTTTCCAGCCCCCTCCTACCATAGGTACTACACAACTCCCTCCACTCCCTCAACTCGCAAGCCCGTCCCACCACCCCCGCTGGCTCCCCTTCAACTTATACCCAAAATACACCTGATACCTCTGCGTCTCCGCATTATTCCAACACTTCCACTTGCCCTCCACCTCAAACCCCCGCGCCATCCAAAGCCCCTGCTTACCCGCCGCACCATCCGGCGAATCAATGATGGCCTTGATTCCATACAGATACGACCGCTCGATATCCGTATTGCCAATCTTGAGGACCACCCCCTTGTTCACCACGGTGCCCCTCGTCCTGAGGACAAGCTCGCACGTCTTGGCTGTCAGCAAAGTGTACGAATCCGTGATGGACGCGCGATAGGTAAAGTAGCGGCTGCGCCCGAGCGCGTTGGCGGGGATCATGGCGCAGTCGAGAAAGTGCGGGGATTCGTGCGGGATCACGTCGTAGGGCTCGGTGCAGAAGGTGTAGTTGACGCCCGGGCCGAAGTCGCGGTTGGAGAGGGGCGAGGATGAGTCGGTGGCATAGGGATCGTTTGGGGAGCCGTCAGAAGGGGGGTCTAAAGAAGGGTTGATGGTGACGGTTTGGTATTTGTCGAGGTCGGAGATGGGGATGCAGGATCCGGTCATGGTGGTGTTGTCCTTGGGAGAGAGGTAGTACATGTCGAGGCAGGGTTCGTTGGAGGCGTCCGTGTCATCAGTGTCTCTCGGTTTAAGGGATTGTCGGTGCTGGTAGTCTGTTTGGAGCTGGCGGAGGGTGGGCAAGGAGACACAGCGGTTTTGGTTGGGGCCATTGGCGGAAGGGGACTGGTTGTTGAACTTGAGGTTTACGCAGAGGTTATTTTCCTTGGCTGCTCTCCTTCTGGCGTGTTGCCTTTGGTATTTTGTTTGGTTGGAATCTTGACGGTTCGCAAATTGGCCGATTGGTACGCAGTCAGTGACTTTGCCTGTATTGATGTCAACGACATCGACGCAGCCGACGAGTTTCGGATAGGGATTTGCCGAGACCGTAGCGACTACGGCAGTGACGGCGAGGATGGACCTTAGGTTTGTTGGCAGCATGGTGAGTTACTGCTTAGTGAGTGAGGTCAAGAGATTGAAATTGTTGACGATTGCTATAGGAAGCCCGGAGTATGGATGGAAAGCATCAATACATCTTATACATCGTGGCCACGGGTGTTCCAACATGGTATTACGGGAACAAGGCGGTATTCAGAGCCTATTCAGGTCGGTTTCTTTCCCTAGGAGACAATGGGTATTGACTCGTGCCAGGAGCAGGCAAGTTTCCAGTTATAAGCTGGCCATCCCACATCCGCACATGTCTATTTCTATCTGAGCGGCAAAGCCAACAGATCCCGTGAGGGAGATGAAAGATTCAGCTTTCGTGACTCCAGTATCCTTCATCGGGGTTTTCTGCGATGCACATGAGCAAACGACGAAATTTTCCGGCAACGGACGGGCGGCTTGTACGGATAGCGACCGTTAACCAACGAGCAACCAGTTAATGCTACCGGCTCAATGTCATGGCCGTAAGCAGATTTTCATTTTCTCTCCTACTATCGCCACGCGACTACCCTTCCCCGGTGGAAAGATATTTCAGTAATTTGTTGTACCTCCTTTTCCGCAATTCCATTTTGATGTTCTGAAGGTCAATTACTATAGACAACATTCTGTCTGTCCATTGTTCCATTCCCCATCCTTTGTCCCCTCGTGTCATAGCAAGGCCGGGTGGCATTCTTGTTCCTGATATATATATGACCGCCACTTTTTCTCTTTGTTTCCTGCCGGACAGCGTGACCCGCACTGCCTTCCGTGTAACTGCAAGTTGCAACTCACGGCTGGACCATATTCCTTAGCTCTAGCCGTGCCTATTGGGAATAAGATCTGAACGGACATCTTGCTCGGTCAGTGATGCAGACACTCAGCGGAAAGATTCTTTCACGTCTTGTTACTCAGACAGGCCCAAAACAGAAGTGCAGGGAAAGTTGACCTAATTCCTTTCACAGACGTACGGACACTCGAAATTCACCACATTTCCACACATGTCAGTCACGCTACAGTGCTTCAATTGTCATTTATTCATCATGCGCTTTTCGCTTATGTAACAGTCATTCAACGTATCCAAAACAACCTTCAACCCGTCGACGAACTCTCCCCCCAAAACACTGGACAGCAGCCAGTTCACTCCGCCTCCCAATTCACTCAGACGCAAACGCAGCACCAGCACCCGTATACTTCAAGCTGAACACACCGCGCTCAATACTGTTCAGGAGCACATATCCCGACTTGAAGAAGGGATACACAGACCAAGAACCCGTGAACTCAGCCCGGCCACCGTAACTGTCATCCTCAGGGTAGCAGTCAAAGAAGCCAACCTGCTCCAAGCCCGACCCATCCGGCTTGGAGGGGATACTCGACACATCGACGATACGCAGACCAGACCCATAGTTGCTCTGGTAGCTGAGCCCCTTAACAACATACTGGTTATGATCGATCGAAGTGGCCGGGCTCTGGTAAATACCGCTGAAAGTAGGAGCAGTAAGCGAGCTAATGTCGACAATGTACGTAGTCGTCTTCTTGTTCGACGCATTGCCGTTGCCGTAGTACTCATCCAACTCGTCGTCCAGCAACAGGTACTTCATGCTACTATCAACCAACCAGCCCTGGTGGGTGTAGCTCGCTCCGTTGTACGTCTTGGAGCTCAACGTCTTCGGGGAAGACTTGCTTGTCACATCCACGATATCGAGCGTGTCCTCGTTGAAGTTGAAGCAGATCTCCTTGCCGGTGTAGCGGGTGTCGGGTCCCTTGTAGATGACGCACTGCGCGTCGTGCACGTAGCCGCCCGCTGACAGACAGCCGGCTTTGACGGGAGAGGCAGGGTTGGTGACGTTCACCATGAAAAGACCACCCCTGCACCCGGCCGAGGCGGCGGTGCCGACGGCGTAGATCATGTTGGTCTCCTCGTGCGCGACGATGTTGTGCGAGGACCCGAAGCCTTTGTAGATGGCGGTCAGGTCGGAGGAGGTGGAGAAGACTTTGGGGGAGGAAGGGTCGATGTCCAGTAGCTTGGTGAGGTCGAAGACTTGTAGGCCGTGGTTGGAGGCTTCGGAGCCGATGTAGACGTGGTTGCCGATGACTTTCATGTCGCGCCAGGAGGAGCTGGTGGTTTGCGTGGGCAAGCGGCCGAGGTAGACGAGCGAGCCGTCGGAGAGAAGCTCGACGAAGGCGGTGCCGTCTGTTTGCCCGACCGTGGCGAATTCACGGCCGTTGGGAGCGGTCCAGCCTTTCACATCACATCGTCAGCATCAGTATCACACGCTCGAGATGGAGATGGGAGAGGGGGCAACTGATGGAACTCACCCCAGATGTCATTGCCCTTCCTTGTCGACGATCCCATGTCCTGATGACGGAGGAATCCCTTCAAGTCGACGTTGCTGCACTGGTACTCGCCCGCCTTGCCGTTGACGCACGAAGTGGCGGCAGTGGCTTGGTAGCGATCAATGTCGTAGGCGCCGACCTCCTGCTGGCGGGCCCAGGTGTCGATCTTGAGCTCTCTCAGCTTGGCCATGGACTCGGCAGCAGCGGTGCCGGCGAGGGCCGTGACGGCCGCCAAGAAGGTGGACGTCTTCATTGTGAAGGAGGTGATGAAAGTCGGAGGCTGAGGAGTGAGGAGGAAGGAAGGAGGAAGAAAGTGAGTGGCGGGGATGAGGAGCTTGTTGGGCTGGGGGACCTGAAAACGGTGACGATCTTGACGATGGTGGTGAGGGTCTTTATACTCTTCCTCCTTCGCAGTCACATCACCGTCCGTTCTCAACAGAACAAAAGTTCTTCCTCGATTGCCATGTCTTGTTGGTGTCCCTGTTCCTGTTCCTGTTCCTGTTCCTGTTCCTATCTACCACTCTCCCGTTATGGCAGCTGCTTTCTTCCAGTCTCGAACCATGTAACCTCCAGCACGCAATACTTCCATTACTAGCAATGTCGCCATATCCAACCTTGCCAACAACCTCGGCTGTTTGTTCTCCCAGGCATCGATGTCTCCTTCTTATCCTAGCCTTGCCCTGCCCTCCTTCCCCTCCTTCCCTACCCACGCGACGTCGTAGCGTCCCGCGCGCCGTCCCGATAGTTGATGGTCGATAACCTTGTCGTATCCGCCACTGGCCATTGAGGTCCTCAATTCTCAATCCCCGATCTTCACTCCTCACTTCTCACTCCCTACTTCCCATCCGCCTTTCACCAGCTCGCATGCGATCTCACAATGCGCATTGACACTTGTCATTATTCCATTCTGAAAGCTCATGACTAGAGTACTGTAGGTCGCAAGTGCCTGGAGAGAATAGAAGTACAGCCATACTCCCCTCTTCCCAAACAAAAAAAATGGATGGATTGATCAAGATGTTGCCACAAAGGAACTCGATACCAAGACGTCGCATTTAACCCCTCCCCTCCTCTCCCCTCCCCAACGAATTTTCTGACCTTCCGAATCCGAACGTCGTCGTCTTGGATTAATGCCGAGTCTCTGCGAGAAAACACAACATGTGGGGGGTGGTGGTGGTGGGGTGGTACTCTGGTGAGTAGGTAGCACTAAGCCGCAAAGACCAGAAGATGGTCGGCCGCCCGTTATAAAACCGGGATACATGGAGGTGAAGAAGAAGGAACAGTTGCCGGCCGGAGGTCAGACTTGGGAGTGTTACTACAACCGTACGCAAAGTACTACCCAGGTAAGAAAACAAAATGGGAAATGCGACATTGGTCGGCTATAAACGGGGGTTCGGCACTCGGCAGTTGGGGCGGAACGAAGCGCTTACACTTGGAGACATACATGGAGGCTTATAGGTGGAGATATTCTGAATGACGAAGTACAGTCCGATGCTGGTTTGTTTGTTAGCTGGGTACACTAGGCATATCTACTATACACTGTATATTGGTCCACTAGACGAAATCTATCCTTTATAGTCCCAAACCTCGCAAGGACAAATCAAAATAGCTGCGTACAAATTACAAAGGCATTGACAAGAATTGATGTGGCATATTTAATATTAGAAATAGCCCTTTACAAGGTAAGATCACGCATTAGTTAACTAATGAAAACGTATAGGAAGGTTGACGCAAGGTCTCGAGCTAACAAACAAACCAGTACTGGACTACTGTACATAAGATCGCATCGTGTAAAAAAGATCTTGGCAGATCATGTCTTGCGCCTCCTTGCGTTGCCTTGCATGTTCTTGGCCTTCTTGGGCATGGGCTTCGACCTACTGCAAGGGGAAGGTGGGAACAATATTCACCTTTCTTCGTTCACCTTTTCCTGCTTTCCCATCGTGGAGAATTGTTAAGCCATCGCGGGGTATAGGTACTTGGCGGTCGATTGTTATCCTTCTTGTTTTTCGGTGACATTGCAAAGCATAGGTAGGTTGGTAGATGGTGATGTGAGGTTGTAGATGGCACATATTTGGATCGCTGCCTACCTACCGACGTTATCTATCGATTCTGATATGTTGCCTTTGTTGGCTTGCCTTGTCTTCCATGTCATGCCATGAGCAAAGCTGCAGAAAGATATCGCCCAGTTATTTTTTTTTTCAAATGGAAACAAGGAAAACAAGAATACTCCTCCACCACACCACTCTTGGCTTTTCTTTCTCCTCCTCACTACAATGTGCCATTCTATCGTCCTCGAATACCTACCTACTACCTAGAGGTATACTTGACACTCAAAAGCCCATTCAGCTTCCAGGTTATTGCTCGGCCCCATGGAGGTAATAATACCATCACCTTTCTCCCCCATTTAATCAACTGCAAAACCTTTCAACCAACCAGTTTTCACACCCTCTTGACCAAGTTACCACGCGCCAGCCAAGTTGCCATACTTTTCTCCTCCCTCTCTCTCTCGGCTCGTGCTCGTACTTGCAGCAACCCATCCCACCACATCACATCACATCTTGATAGATATCTACCTCTACCCACCTCTACCTAGAGGTACCTACCTACCCTGGGCAGGTAGTAGTCTAAAAGCAGGTACCGAGTCATCACTGCACATTATTGGCCACTGTCACCTACTTCTTTGGTATGTATCATACATACCATGTAGAGGCGAGAAGACTCTCGAATACATGTGCATGTACATTAGTAGGTATAGAACGCCGTGATACCGAGGTATGCTTTCGTTCAGATCATCGTCATAGTTCACCACATGGGAGAAGCCAGACGATCATGTTGATGGACTCGACAGTAAATATCACTTGAGATACTCGTTGGTACCTAATTATTCACATGGAGATGTCAGAGAAAAAAAAAAAAAAAACTGAAACCAGACCCCTTGGGGAAAGGGGTGTGCTCAAATCTTTCAACTTGTGTAACAAAGACTCACAACAAACAGTACTAGGCCCCCGACATGTCTCCAACTCAATTCTCTCTATTATGAAGTGCCGTATGAATGCCCTTCTATAGAAAAAAGTCCTTTAACCAAGTTCCTATCTTCTTATCATCTCCATTCTCCGTCCTCCCACGCTCTTCTCTTGTAGCACCTGACCTGGGCAGCCCGAATACCACAAAACTGCTATCCTAGAAAACCAACATCACAAGAGGAAGATGACACCTCAGCACACTACCTCCCCCTAAACAGACTCGGCGTGCGGTAATCGAACGCATCCGGTACATCATTCTCCACCTCCCAGGGACTCAGTTCCCTTGCCACCGCCTCCCTTCTTTCCTCTCCTCCCATATCATCATCACTACAATATCCCTCCTTCTCCTTCTCCTCCTTCTCGTTATCCTTATCATCAGCATCATCCCTCCTCGCAATCCGCCACGCCCGGTCCAGAATCCTGATATACTCCAGCTTCCGAAATCGCTGGATAAACGCCATGGCCAAATGCTCGATTCGGACGCCATGATGAGATCGAATATGCTCAACAATGCACTTGTATGACTTGTGACGACTATCTCCCGCCAGCCAAAGTTCGCGGAGGTTCCGAATACGTCTCAACTGCCACGTAATCGTGCTGATGTTCGTCGACGATAATTCTCCGGGATCGCATTCGACATGCGTCGTATCATGAGTAGCACAGAAGAAGCCAAAGTCACACAACGGAGGAAGTGTCGTTTTGAGAGACTTTAGTGTGGTCAGGGACACAAGATGGGATAAGTTCTGCTCTGGGAGGGACATGCCGTTGGTGGGCAGGACTAAGCCCGACAAGGGGAATGGGCGGAGTAGCGTGTGGACACGCCATAGATATGAATAGGGATGCAAGCCGCCGCGTGGTCGATGCTGGTCTTGAAGATGGAATTCATCCACAAAGTTGATCACCAGGTTTTGTCTCAGGGTGAACTTGGAATCGTAGTATATCATTTCCCAGGCATAGCCGTCCGCCCAGGGCAACGTCAATTTTCTTAAGCTGGGAAGATGGAGGGCGTGGATCAACTTTCTCGCCAAATGCGTGTTGAAAGCAAGATTGATACCAGTAAAGTCTTTGGGGTGATGTGCCTCTATAAGATATGGACCGTCTACATAGTCGTCATAGAACAAGTGCAGCTCTTCGAGCCTGGAGAAGTCCAATAGATTACCCAAGAAGCCAGCCGGGTGATTATAGTTGTATCCAGGGTTCCTTGGAAAATACAACTCGAATCCTTTTCCAAGCTTGATATAGCGCAGCTTTTGAAGAGCCCTTCCTCCAGCGTGAAGATAGTTGCGACAGAGCTCTTGTATTATTGCGCCTCGCGGTCTTCCGGTACCAGCAACACGGGCACTGAGTTCGAGGCAGCTTAGATGGGGCGCACCTTTGAGCACCAACACTAGTTCCCGAAGTCTGAATGAGGATGTGGGTAGACTGAGGAAATGGCGTGAATTCTCATCAAACGGAAGCCCATGCAAGGCCAAAATAGTAAGATGCGGGAAGGTGAGACGAGCCTCTGGTATGTTGTAGGTTCGGGTTCCAAAAGTAGACCAATCTGGGGATTCCAGGACTGTGGCAACCAGATGTCAGTTTTTGTTTCCAGAATCAAGATGGAGTATGCATGGATTGAATCTGGAGAACTGGGATTATGAGGCTCACATTCCGGCCGGTCTTGAGCCAAGGTTGCGCCTGCGGTGTCTAAAATCTGCTCCTCTCTGACATTTCCCCTTGCCTCCATTTTGATCGATCGAATTTTGGGAACGGATTCCCACAACAGTAGAAATTGATGGACCAATCGAGGTACACCGATGGACTCAAAATGGTCTAGAAGAGGGGTACGTTTCAGGTACCACCTAATGGCTCGGTACACTGGAAGAGATTCGCGTTTATACCGTGCTATTTCCTGGGCCCTGGGCAAGTTGCCAACCGATTTTATGTGCGCAGCTGCTATGTCTCTGGGGATTGTCAAAGAGCGCGCAAGGCCAGTAAAACTGTAATCGATATCGGTATTTCCGTCGGGAGTGTAGTCCGGGCTGAGCGGATAGGCAAGAGGCTTGGAAGGATCTGGCGTTGAGACTTCGAATCTGGGGAATACCAGACACCGAAAGAGATGGGGTCGCACGGCAGCATTGAAAGACCGGCAGACAAGCGAAATGCTTTTGAGATCTGCTGGATTCTGTACATGGCTCACGATAATTTTTGTGATCTGGGGTATGAGGAGAGGACGCGTGCTGAGAGGTGTAGACATTGCTGTCCGTACAGCTGAGGATGGCGAGCCTGCGGTGATGATGTTGAAATGTCTGTAACTGCCGGGATGGGGAAGAATGAGGATATAAGGGCTAGAAAGACCCAAAATAACGTAGATATGGTGCTAAAAGAGTTTGGCTGTCGATATTGAATGGCCTTAATGAGATGCTGTGTCGAGGAAACTGTGTTTTGTGTTTGACCATTAATGATGATATGATCTCGCTCATCCAGACAGTGAACACGAGACAGCTGAGTCTTGGTCGGCCCTTCCTTCACAGACGCCTCAGGACCGGCAAGGAATTTGAAGGGGATGGACATCATGAACTAGACACATCCTCCAAACGTCGAAGGAGTTTTTCTGTTTTCCAATGACAGAGACACAGCCGCAACATTAGGCAGTCGCTCTTTCCTTCTCTCCTCCACAACCTAGCACTCTTCCCAGCCCTCTCCTTCCATATCCCGCTTTCATTCGGCTTCAAGAACACATCAGGAAAGGCCCAGCTTCAACGTAGTGTAGTATACGACTACCAAAGGAAGCAGCCACTAGCTCATGTGTACCTCTACGACAAGGAACAGAACCCTTTAGAGGTACTTTCCAAAGCTTTCCATCTTCCAATTAACCATCCTTCCTCGTCTCTCCCTTTCCAATTCTCACCCACCAACACCCCGTCATAATCATCACTTCCCTTATTCCCCTTATTCAACCACCACCACCACCACCACCACCTCCTCCTCTCTCCCTCCACCACCCCCTCAACCCCTCCACCACCCCCCTACACCACCCCACCCCCCTTAACTCCTCCTCCCCAACCCACCACTTCCACAAACACCCCTCAGGCGGCCGATCACTCCAATACTTCTTCAAACACCCGCCCTCATACTTATGATTCTTCACTCCCATCAACAGTACCACCTCCCCGGGTTTAGGATTGAAATCCTCTGCATCCAAGAAAACATTCAGCAAGATATGTTTGGGTGTAGATTGATCAGCGAGACGGACGATTCTTTGGTTGAAGGTGGGTGGCATTGGGGAGGGCTGGACGTCGGATATGGAGACGATGATGGCTAGGACGTTGACCATCCAGTTTTGAGGGTAGGGGAGGTGTGGGATTTGGTGGAGGGGGCAGAGTTTGAGGGGGGTGGTGGGGTCGGTGGCTAGGTGGGGGTTGGGTTTGGGAGGGGGGTGGGGAGGAGGTTGAGGTTGAGGTTGAAGACGGGGTTGGTGTTGAGGTTGAAGACGGTGTGGAGGTTGAGGTTGGGCTTGTGGTCGTGGTTGCTGCTGTAAGAACTGTGGTCGAGCTCGGGCTTGCGGCTGGAAGAATGGTCGGGCTGGAGGCTGGGGTAATAGTTGGGGTCGTGGTTGAAGTCGAGTTGGTGGTTGAGGTTGAAGTTGAAGCTGAGGTTGAGGGCGTAGTTGAGACTGAGGTTGAAGCTGGGGTTGAGGACGTAGTTGAGGCTGAGGCTGCGGTCGAGGTTGTATCTGTGCTTGCGGCCGAGGCGGCTGTAACAAGGGATTAGGCTGGAGATGAGGCGGAAGCCCAGGCCCCGATCCCTGCTGCTGCGCCCGCCGTTGACCCCTAGGCGGAAGCTCCAAGATCCTCTTCCTCTGCATCTGCTGATTATTGACAATAGCCGCTGGACGAGTATCTTGAGGAACCTGAAATGACCGAAGTTCCGAAGCGACATAAACAGGTTCCGGTGCCTTTATGACGGGCTTTCGTTGTGGATTCTGCACCAGAAAGATTTCCTGCGCGGTGAAGGACGGATGAAATGGCGGTGCCTGTCTGGCGGTAATGATAGGCTTCTTCTCGGGTTTCGGTGGCTTTGGCGGCGTTGGCGGCTTTGGCTTGTTCTGCTTTTCCCATTCCTTGATGAGTCCGTCAACCGTAGCCATGTCCAAATCTTTCCACTCTTCCGGAAGAACAATTCTGGGATCTGGTTGTTTGATCTTGGGCGGCTTTGCCTTCTCAGGCGGCTTTACCTTTTCAATCGGCTTCGCCATCCGAGCCCCTGTTAATTTTTCGAATCTTTCTATGAGGCGAGTCCGCTCCTTTCGCTCCTCTGCTTCCTTGGCTTCCTCTACCTTCCTCCTCTCCTTTGCCCGAGCTGCTTCTTCTTTCCTCCTCTTGGCATCCCTCGCGTCCAATTCCGCCACGTATCCAGTTGGCACCCACCAAGGCTGTTGTGGATTCGACTTATCATCTTTCTTATCCAGATCCATCTTATCGCTTGCTGTCGATGTCACTTGCAAGGCGGGACCGAGCTCCTCTGCCATAGCCTTGAGTTGTGCTTTCTTCACCTCCCTCATGAACTTCCTGTCCAACCCGACCGGAACCATGTGGCCTACCACTAGACAGACCATTTTGGTCGTTTTTGGTTTTCCACCCTCCTTCCGTTTGTCGACTTCTTGTTCTTTTGCTACCCTGGCTTTTTCTTTCGCCTCAACTTCTTTCCACTTCTCCAGCCATTTCCGCTCCAGAATCTCCCTCCTCAATTTCTCCAACTTTTCTGGATCACCAATCCCATCGTCGTGTATACCCCCAACCTGCTGCTTCCCATTCACTCCCTGGATACCCTTCCCCTTTTCCTGACCCCTACTCACAGCATCACCATCCTTCATCTGCTGAAGCATCTGCTGAAGCATCTGCTGAGGCATCTGCTGAGGCATCGGCTGCAGCTGAGGCATCGGCTTCTCCTCAACATCAACCTCCTCAAACTCCACCACCACATCCCCCGCTCCCAACCTTACATACACCCCCTCCATCACATCCCCCCTTGCCTTCTCCTGCCACTTCATCTGCCACTTTTCCTGCATCTTCTGCTCCTTTTCTTCCTCTTCTTCCTTGGCTATTTCTTCCGCTGTCTTTTGTTTTCCCCCTTCCTTTTTTTATTTCCCTTCTTTTGGTCTCCCTTTGCCTGATCTTTTGCTTGTTGTTCAACTTCCGGGTACGTAACAGAAGCCCACTCGTCGAAATCGTGTCCTAGCACTAGGTAATGGAACTCGGGCCTCAAGATTGCTTGCACCCAGAATTCCCCGTCGTATAGGAGGAGACGGATGACTAGGTCTGGAGGACCCATGGGTGGTTGCGAGGGGACGGAGTTGGAACTTGGTGGTCGCGGGGGTGGGGTGCGGTTGTCGAAGATGGTTGGATAGGCAGGGGGTGAAGGGGGTGAAGGGGCGGAAGGGGAAGAAGAGGGAGATGAGGGGTCATGCCGTTGGGACCAGGTGCGTTTGCGGGACAAGATGGAGGATTGGCTTTGTGGTGGGACTTGGCTGGATGGTGGGGGGAGGGGGTAGTCGGTGTTGGACATGGGGATGTCGGAGTCGGAATCGGAGTCGGCGATGGTGGAGGGGTGGTTGCTGGCTGATGAGAGGTCGGTTTCGGGGATTTCTAGGTCATGGTCGTCGAGTTCTTTGGAGGGTTTTGCAAAGCTGTGTTGACCAGAGGAGGAGTGCCGTCTTTCGTGCTTGCTGGAGTAGTCGGTGTGATCGGAATCGTCGACGTTTGCTTCGTTGTAGAACTTTTGGCTATCATTGCCATGTTCACGAGGCTGTCTATTTCCGAGTTCAGAGGCGGGAGTGCTTCCAAGCTGTGAATCATCCTCGTATTCGTACTCTGATCCAAGTTGCGACCCGTCCAGATATTCAGGAGGCATTTTGAGGTATTGGATACCCTTTACGAGCATCACCACCCCTTTTGGAATAACAACTTTTTTCTTGTCCGTCTGCCCATTGGAGTCATCTGCCTCTTGATCCGTCTCTTTCTCCAACCCCTTTAGTTCCGCCCCTTCCACCCCCTTCTCCTCCTTCTTCTCTTGGTCCTTCTCTTGCCCCTCCTGTCTCTCCTCTCCCTTTCCCCCAACCATCTCTTGTGCTCCCCCCTCCACCACCGTCCCCGGGGCAGGCCAAACCTCGGGAAACTTTTCGCTCAAAATCACATGCCGAATAACCCCCCTCGCAAGCTTGACGTCCAAATCAATCGGGCGATCAGGGTGGTCAGGATCATGCGAAACGATGGGACGAGCAGCGATGGAGGCTTCCGAGTCGTCGGGGTCATCAATAGGAGGGGTAGTTTCTCCCTTTCCTTGTTCCTGGCCTTGTTCTTGGCCTTCTGCTTTCGTCTGGCCGTCCTCTTTAGTTTGTTGTTGGTTGGTGGTAACGGCGGTGGCGGCGGCGGCGGCGTTATCCTTGCTGAGGACTTTGGATGATGGTTGACCTGCGGCTTGGTCCAGCCATGCGCGAACTTTGGCTAGCCTACTGTCTTTTGCGAGCACATCGCTCGTAAATCCAGCGTCTCGGCCTAGGACGTCTCCTTTTCCGAATCCGGTTGCATTTCCGAGTACATCCCCCTTCCTGAACCCAGGTGCATTCCGAGTCTCTAGTCCTGCAGAATTCCCGAGTACCGTAGGACCATGTGCATCTAGTCCAAGCACGTCCCCTCGTCCATAATCTTTCTCTTTCTCCTTTCCTTTCCACTTGGCATTTGGTCCTAGGCTGTAAGCAGTCTGCTGTTGTACTCGCGGTTGCACCGGAGGCTGATAAGAAGGAGGCGGCCTCTCATAATCCTGATCATCCTCCATTTTCTCATCAACCCCTTCCAACTCCATATCCATCCCCCGAAGCCCTCGAAGCGCCTGGAGCGCCTGCTTCTGCCCCTGTCCCTCCCCCTGGAAATACCCATCTCCTCCATCATCCCCTTCATCATCCAATCCAACTTCAACAATCTTCCCCTTCCCTTTCCCATCCCCCTTCCACCTGGAGTCCTCCCTTCCCAAGTAGGATTCATGCCCCCGCTGCGGTTGTCCCGATGGTGGTGGTGGTGGTGGTGGTGGCGGTACTTGCACCTGTTGCTGTCCTCCCCGTTCAGGTGACCCCCACCGAAACGGTTCGTGTACTTCATCCAGCCCATGCGCCTGGAAATACGCATCTAGTTCGTCGGCATCAAAGTCATCATCATCATCGTCGGCGTCGTTGTGGTCTATATCCATCATATCGATGTCTGGGTCCTTTGGGGCCATTCTATTCGTAGTCATTATCACGGTTGGCTCCGGATGGTGGTGGATGATGATGTTGTTGCAAAAGTAGGTAGACGGTTATGGCTATGGCTGGTACTATGGATGGTGGCGATGTGTATGCGACTTAATATCCGTGTGGTCGATGACAGTGATGGAGAAGCGCATGTTTACTTTATTTTCGGTGTTGAATTTCCATGGGCGGATGAATTGGCGATTCCAAGGTTTAAATCTCTTGACCAAGATCGGGTTCCAGGATGAGATGGACATGCGAATGAGAAAGAAAGAAGAAAGACGAGAGGGAAATTGTGGGAATGCGGGAATGACACAAATGGGAAATCCACCCGAGTGGGACGTGTCTCTGAGAACGGCACGCGTGGATTGGTGGGGCGAACAGTTTACTGTACTATGGTGAGATGGGTAAGTTAAACCCGTGGATCAGGTCGTCGACCACACAGTGCTCACGAAGCTCTGGCTGTGGTGGTCCGTGCAAGATACCTGACAAGGGGGTTTTACTTTTGCTCGCAACCGCAGTAAACAGCCCCCGGAGTTAACGTCAGTCTAGGGCATCCCGGGACTTGGGTTCATTGTCAGCTTGAGCTTCCAGGCTTTTCTTTGAAACAGAGCAGGTCATACTGGCCAGACATATTCATCATCATCAAAGTCAAGGAACCGAACCGATAAGGTACGTAATAAGCTGGGTATTGAACATCTGTATAAAACAACATGGCTACAATTAAGCTGGCCCAAGAACCTCGTCTCTAAACTGCTCTGCCTCGGACCTCCCCTGGAAAGCTCCCATCCGCCTTTCTCGGCACATCTGTATGTATTCCGTAAAAAATATTGAATCTAGCCCTCAAGTGCATACTCTCTGACAAGGCCTCATTAAGATAGAGATGCGAAGGAGCTTCCGGTACTAAAAATGAAATTAGGGGGTTAAGAAGTCCACTCCACCGAAATAACCATATCACCAACAAGACGTGGCAGTAGTGAATAAACGCATTGCATCCCGTTTGCGCCATCGCTTGTTTCCCGACCCAAACAAAGCCTTTTTAGTTCTGCCCCCCCATATCCCCGAGGGCGTATCGGTCGTCGTTCGTCTATATCGGGGGATTGCAGTGTGTTGCGTGCCGACTCTCCGTCGAGTTTGCTGTCCTCATTGATTGTTGTTGGGCTTCTCCTAGTAGCCGTTCATGGTCATGCGTTGAGAGTTGCGGCTCATCTCGCGATCCGCAGCCGGGCTGATTGGCCTGCTGCTGTGTCCCTGCGCACTGCTTTCCTTGAGGGCCAATAGCTGCTTGGCACGGAAGGTTTCGTAGTGGATCTGGGATGTGGTCTCGATGAGGTCCTGGAGGTGGGTGCGGAGGAGGAAGTTTCGGAGGTAGATGAATTCGCAGTGGTTCTCGTCCTCCACGTTGATCACGCCCCAGCGGTTCTGGCGGCCACGGACCTGCTTGCCGTTGACCACGATGCTCTTTTCGGAACCAACAACAGCAAAGGGAATGAGGCTCTGTGTCACGTTAGCTATGGTCAACTTTTCCTGATAGAAATACAAAAACCCACCTTGATTTGCTGGTTCAGGGAGCGCTCCTCCTCGTCAAGCTCGTCGTTGTCGTAGGGGTACATCTTGAGGTTGTGGAAGGCAAACTCCTCCTTGATGCGCTCCTTGAAGGCCTGGCGTTCTTCCAGCGTAAGGGAGTCCGACTTGGCAATCACGGGCACCACGTTGACAACATCCGACAGCTTCTTGAGGACGACAATGTCGATGGGCTTGAGCGAGTGGCCCGAGGGCTGGATGAAGAAGAGGCAGCAGTGGATGCGGGTGTCCTGGATGTAGCGCTCACGCTGGGCAGTGAGCTCCTTGCGGAGGTAGGCAGAGTGCTGGTCCTTGATGTACTTGACAATGGGATCCCAGCAGCGGTCGTTGTTGATCATGTCGCCGTAGCCGGGGGTGTCGACAATGTTGAGGCGGAGACGGACGCCATTCTCCTCGATGATGTGGGAAACGGACTGGATCTCGGTGGTGGAGCGGACCGTCTCGTCGGGCTGGAGGCGGCCCTTGGAGTCGATGAGGTGGGAAGCGAAGATGGTGTTGATGAGGGTCGACTTGCCGAGGCCGGTTTGGCCTGGGTGAAAGGGGTGTTAGTTGGGCATAGGTTGATGGCAGAGATTGGAGTGATAGACGTACCAACGCAGATGACATTGAACTGGAAGCCGCGCTTGAGCAGCTTGCGCTCAATCTGGGAGGTGATGCTGTCGAAACCGACGTGGGTCTCGGGGTGGACGGTGGCAGGGCCCATGGTCGACATGATTGCTAGGTAACTTGTTGGGGGCTACTTGATCCAAAAAGCAGGTAGGTGATGGCGGGAAGAGAATGGGCGGAACAATGAAAGAGAAGCGAATGGAGATGAAGATGGCTGTTGTCGGGCGGTCGAAGGAAGGGCGTGGGTTGGACTGGAGACGGGGATGGACAACGGGGACGAAGAGAAGTGGTGTGTGTGGTTGTGAAATGAAACAAAAAGTGCAATTAGGGGACAAGCAATGCTTCAATCAATCAATCAATGGGATGGGTGGGAGATGGAACTGGACACCCGACGGCACCAACCAAGACAACCTAACGTGGGTGATGGTGCTTTCCCTGTCCCCGTACCTATTCTACGTCCAAGTCTACACTACAGAACTGCTGTTGTCACTGCAGTGCTGCCCGCTGCTGCTGCTGCTGCTGCACGTTGCCAAACAACAATTTCCCTTCCAGGGGCCCAGGCAACCTAACCTAGGTACCTAAGGTAGCTGGGGGTTGACTGCCAAATTGAACCTGCGAATCACTGGATGACGGGAGGTGTGGGAAAGGGGCAGACACGCACCTTGCCGCCCAGCTCGTTTGATTGGCCCTGTGGGGTCAGTGCTCCAGGAACACCCGGATTGGGTTTAGCAGCACCTGCACTGACTTGACAGTGGGTGCTGCACTAATTGCACTAACAAAAGACCTGGGGAGGACCGCGAATGGTCCGTGTCACCCATGCCCGAATTTTTTGAGATGGGTGGGTCTCCAACCAACGATTGCCGTCCCGCGCGCGGTGCCGGGCAGTTCTCGACTTTCGGCCCCGGCAGCCCAGAGGAAGAAGCACCTTTTGGTCCGAGAATCACACTCCGCTCTCCGTCCACCGATTCCCGATTCGCCATCCGACCACCCGGACACAGCACCTTGACGGCCACACAGCAGGGTTTGGGATTTTAGTAAGGGAGGGACTGAACCGAAAGCCGCAATATCTCGCGCGACAACTCGATTACTTTTTGCGCATCTCCGAAAACCTCCCATCTCGAATTCCATCTTCCATTTATACTACCCAGCAACCAGCTCGATACCCCAATCTTCAAAAATGGCCGCCATGACTGCTGCTGCCGCCCCCGCCATGCGGCTCTTCAACCCCTCGACCTTCTTCCAAACCCTCAGGACACAGCGCTTCGGTGTCCCCGCCCTCAACTTGGCCGTGCCCGCCGCCGCCATCTCGCTCCTCCCGTCGATACCGTCGCTGCTCGAGGACATCTGGGAGGGCATCCTGCGCGCCGTGCCCAAGAAGAAGACGTCGCACATGAAGAAGAGACACAGGCAGATGGCCGGCAAGGCGCTCAAGGACGTGACACATCTCAACCGGTGCCCGGCTTGCGGCAACCTCAAGCGGATGCACCACTTGTGCTCCACCTGCCTGGGAAGTATGTGATGGAACTGCTGGGATACTTTGTCTTTTTTGGTGCTAGGGAGATATGCTGACTGACTGATACAGAGCTCAAGGGCTTCATGGACCGTAATGGTGGCAGCAACGCCAAGGCCTACTAAGCGGCGCATGTTGAGTTGGAGAGGAGAGGGAGGATGATGGGATCAGGGCATGTGATAATGCCCGGGGAAAGATGGCACTTGACTGTTGCTATATCCGTCCCATACCACACCACATCTGTGTACGATCTAGGTGTCCATGTGTGAAGCGAGACAATGTATACTATTCTGTACATATACCAAAAGTGGAAGTGTCCGCGCCGGTATCACTGAAAAGGGCACCGGTAGCGTTCCCAGGATATCGATGATACCACATCACTTTGGGCTCAACGCTCATTGTAAATCCAAAAAAAGTAGAAGCGCACATCGTTTGCTCTGTTGACCATAAAAAGGACAAGACCAAAGACCCTCGGTTTATCCCATCTTCAAGGTGGATTCCACGTCAAGATAGCGGATAAGTACGTACATACCTAGTGTAGAGGCTCTGGAGCACCCCGGCTAGCACCGCGGATGTGACGTCTTGAAAGCTGCATCGCTGCCCCACCATTCATTCAGTTGCTCGTCTCCAACACCAGAACCACTTTCCTTCTCCAAATAACTTCCCTCCCGCAACAACTTCCTGTCGCAATCCACTTTACGATCGCCTCGTGTATGGACAGGTGACAATGGTGAGAATTCACAAGTCTACAGTCAGCACGCTTGAATACTAACCTCCACCGGTAGTCGAAACAATACCTAACCCTCCACACGGTGGACCAAGGTAAGCCTCCCTCCCCTCCATCACCATGACTTTTCAATCAACACCTCCTCTCCGTCCACCAACCTCTCGAAATTGCATCGCAACTAACACTTGTTCCCCCAGCCCACCCAACCGAAATCTTCTCTCTAGCCCCCACCCCCAACGCCCTCATCTCCGCCTCCGGCTCCTCCCACCTCCTCGTTCACAGCACCACCACCTCACCCACCTTTCCTCTCACCCAAACCCTCTCCAACGCCCACCGCCTCGGCTGCCACCACATCACCACCGCCCGCGGCGGTCCCGGCAACACGTTTGTCTCTGTCGGTTTTGGCGGCGACACCAAAGTCTGGCACCGTAACCCCGAAACCGACCAGTGGGCGCTCCACTGGACACTCCCGACCCCCGACAACAAGAAAGAAAAGGGCGATGTCTGGGCCGTTGCGCTGAGTGCGGATGAGGGATACCTAGCGGCTACTACGAGCGACGGACGGATTCACGTGTGGGATGTATTGGGAAAGGCAAAGATACAAACCTACGAAACGGGGGCGAGTGCAGGTGGTGGTGGTGGTGGTGGTGGACAAGGCAGTGTAGGGACGGGCAGCTTTGCGATGGCGGTGGATTTGAGTAGGGATGGCAAGTTTACGGCGAGTGGACATGAGAATGGCGGGGTATATGTGTTTAATAACGATGCGGGGAGGATGGTTTATTCGCTTTCTGGTGAGTCTTGTCTTCGTGTCTAGGGGAAATGGACAGGGAAGTGGGTGCTAACGGGTTACAAAACAGGCCTCGCAAAACCAATCCGCGCCGTCGCCTTTTCTCCAGGCTGCAAGCGTCTCGCCGCCGCTGGCAACGCAGGCATCATCGCCATCTACGACATGCAGCACGGCGAGCACGTCGCCAACCTATCTGCCACGGGCACTCGGCCCGCATGGATTACATCGATCGACTGGAACGACACGGGCGAATACCTGTTGAGCGGATCGCTGGACGGCAAAGTCAGGGTATGGGATGTGGCGAGGGGTGTCTGTGTCGCGACGCACAGCGAGACCGAGAGTGCCCTCTGGTGTGTGAGGTGGTTGCCAAAGTCGGAGAAGACGCTTGCCCCGGGTATGGGTAAAGGGGAGATGTTTGTGGCGGCGGGAGCGAATAGGAGTTTGACGTTTTATCGGGAAGCTACTGGGTCATAGTTTTGTGATATACAGTCGGCTCGTGCACTCGTTTAGAACACATGAGTGGGATTGTGAGGTTGACCGGCAGAAGAAGAAGGGAGGGCAGGTTCAAGGAGGAGTCTACAGTCAGTTAAGCGTGCTAAGCATAAAGCTTCACAAGGGGTAGCAGCATAGCTAAATATGCCGATGATAACCACCCCATCAACGCTTGCAATATTCCAAAACAACAGGTCTTGGTACGCTATCGGTCAAACACCCGCACGCAGAAAGTCACCCCTTAGTTAACATGCCATGCGAGAGAGTGATTAACACTTACGAACCCATAAGCTCCAGGACGACCTGCGATTATTACTACATCAAGGACGCAAGTCAGCTCTCCTGACCATGTGTACCAATCCCATATCCTCTTCTTTCTTCTTTCCCCCCCCCCCCCCCCCCCCCCCCCCCCCCCTTTTACAGGAGATCATCATTTGTATCCTCTATGATAGACACGGATAACCGCCATGAAGCCAGGAGTAAAAATATCCCTCGCTCCTGCTCCCGCATCCCCAAAGGCAACTATTTCCTTGGGACGAGATATTCCAAGTTAGCGAGTGATCTCATCTAGACCTATACTTAATCATCCTGGTAATGTTTCTACTGATCCCTAATGCTTCCTCCACGTAGACCAAATACTATATATGTTGAGGTATACAACAAGCCCTATCTGGGCATTCATCCGCACCGCCAACTTCCAGTTGGAAGACACTAACTAGTATGTATGTCCTCTCTTCATCAATGGGGGGGGGGCATTTTCCTCCGCCCACGTACAACTCGGGAACTTCTCGAAAGGCTTCACAAACACTTGCGAATTTCTCGCGCTAGCTGTACTCTCGGTCTTGTCGTCTTTCCAAGTTTTTTACGTTACTTTACGGACATCAGAAATTCCCCACACGGGAAGAGTTCCTAGGTAGGTTTCTAGGAGACGCCGAACTTAATCCCCCACCCTCTGCCGCAGGAAGTCATGGTAGTATGTACAGATGACCTCTCCGAATAAATCAGAAATCGAGATCGAGAGAAGACAGGGAGGATCTGATTCGTTAAGTACCTACCTTGGTGGGTTAGTCTTCCTTAACATGAATGAGGACGGGTGACGTGTTCTGGGCCCAGTGATGTTTTGTCTATACTTTCCAGGGTAGTCTCGTGCTTGCTGCTGTTGATGTGGTAAATTGAAAAAGCTGGAAGATAGAGAGGATATCTTGAATGTCTAGAGGTGCAAATATGCGCTGCGGCTGTCGATATTTGTACTTGGTGGCTTGATTTCTTTCTGCTAGGTAGTGAGTGGCTGGACTCGCGATGTGCGTAAAGATGGGTTGCTTCCAGTTGCAGTTGCATTCCATGGTAGCGCTGTCTTTCTGGTAGACTACCTTCAAACACTAAACGAAAGGTTCCAGGAAGAAGATGAAGGCTGAAGAAAGACTGTGGACCGGGTTGGATATATTCAACACAGGTATTTCATCATGGAAAGCAGTACTAAGTAACCTAGATTAGGTAAACATTCACTGGACATCTATGGGAATTTGGGTAGTACGTCAAAGAAACCGTGGGTACGGTACGGGCAGGTTACCTACCTCAGTTTTGGAACGTCCACAGTCAAAATTATTAGGTACCTAGTCGGCTTGTTCAGGTGTCTTTACACATCATCCCTCCGTCTCTCTCCTCCTCTCCGTTACTCCTACTTCTATTTAGTCTTCACACCAACACCAGTAGCCCCCCCACCCATTCCTCCCAAGTGTAGACAACCAACTCACCAAATCCGATTCCCCCACTCATCAACCCTCACAGTCCTATAATCCCCCGTCAGCTCCACCGCATGCCTCCTCCCCTCCGCCGCCATCCCGCAATACGCCCTCGACCCCGCCACCGCCTCCTCGCATAACCTTCTATGCTTTGCCTGTCCGACATCCACTGCCATCTGGATTTCCTTTGGACAACTACCAGGAAACATGTCCCTCGGTATCGGACCTAGGTTTTCCATCCACCTTTTTATTCCCCCTATTCCCCCTATTCCTCCTCCCCCTCCTGATTCTCCCCATTGTCCCCCTCCTGATCCTCCCGCGGAACAACTAGCGTAGTACCTCAACGCAGCATTCACCCCCTCAAACCCCCTATCTGGTTCTCCTGCCGTTTCCAAAGCCATGTACTTGATGAATCCCTGCTCTGTTAAAAAGGGGGTTTGGCCGATACCGAGGACGCGCATGCTTTCGGGGATTTCGGTAGATGAAGTGGTGAGGATGGTTGTTAGCCAGGAGGGGATGAGGGGGTTTGTAGACACGGAAGAACGGTGAGAGGGAGGAGGGGAGGGGCGAGGACGAGGGATGGGGAGGTGGTGGATGCCAAAGGCTTGGAGAATCAAGCGGAATTCCCAGTCGGCTTTGTCGAGGGGGGTTACGGCTGCGAAGGGGTCGGGGAGCCCCGGGAGGGACATGGCGGGGAGGGAGGACCAGGGGGTTTTGTTGAGTTTCCCTAAGAACGGAAGAAGTTGGTTAGTATGGGGTTTTGATTGAGGGTGAGGAGAGAAAGGTTGAGGCGGGCAAAGACAACAAAGAAACAAGAAAACTTAAAAAAAAAAAAAAAGAGAAAAGAAGGATTGTGTGAGGTGGTGGTTGTGGGGAGTAGTAGGAAGGAAGGAACAACGGGAAGGACAGGTGGAGGTGGAGCCGCATTTTTGATGAAGCAGCACATGGATGACACTCGTCATTTTTGGGTTCATTACAAGTGATGAGACGGTGCTGGTCGATCCAGCTTGTTGAAAAGATCCCCTTTGTGATGGAAAATAATGCGAAAGGCCTTCCAAGACAAGAGTCGAGATCAAAAGTAGTCCCAGGTGTTCTATTCATGACCGCTCTCGCTCATGACGTTTACCACTTGGCACACTGCACCACTTGGCGCCCACATGCAGAGGAAGTAGACAATCCAGCATATTCTCCCTTTCTCTTCGTTTTTTTCTTTTTTTTCTTTCTTTGTCTTTTTTTTTTCCTCCTCATTTCCCTTTTCCTTCTCTCCTCTCTCTTCGTCTCCCCATTCATTTCCTCTTTCTCCCTCATCAATTCTTCTGTCTTCCTTCTTTTCTTCTCCTTTTATGCTCAATCTCTTTTTCTTTCTTTCTTTCCTCCTCCATTACTTTTTTTTTTTTTTTTTCCTTGGCCGACCCTCTCCCCCCTTTCTTTTTTTTCTTTTCTTTCTTTCCTCCCGGCCTCCAATTGCCCCTACCTACCTTATTTTCCCCTTTGCTCCCTCCACCACCAAAAATCAAGCAAGAAATTCAACCAAAACAAACAAACAGAAGAAGAAATAACACTCACAAAGATTATGCTCCACCGCAAACCCCTGCACATCCAAAAACTCACTACACTTTTCCGGACTCAAAAACAGCTTTTGTCCATTGACTACCATCATCCCCTTACCATCTCCATTTCCATTTTCATTGCCAGTAGCAGGCCTCATTTCGGGTGTCTGCTGAGCGACCAGCGTCTCAAAGAAAGATTTCATGAGGGCTATAAAAATGGGATTGGGCGCGCCGGTGGGTTGGAAGAGGGGGGTCCATTTTTCGTAGGGGATGGGTTGTGGGGATGAGGATGAGGAAGGGGGAGGAGGAGGAGGAGGAGGAGGAGGAGGAGGAGGAGGAGGCGGGAAGGTCTGCTGCGGCTGATAAGGCGCATATTGTCCTCTGAAAGCCTCAAAGTCCGCTGACGTAGTCTGATTTCCAGCTTGCGACTGAAACGGACTCGGTGGATTACACTCAAACTTTGGCGCCTGGAATTGCTGTGGGCGGAATGGCTCAAACTGCGGTGATGAGGGCTGAGGCTGCGGCTGCGGAACAGGCCGGCGAGTCACGCGTGGCGGCAGAGGAGGAGGACTTAAGCCGGAGCTTTCTCGAGACGGCGGTACGTAGCTGTACGGTCTTGATTGCCTTTCAAGAACCGTTGGTGGTTGCTCCTCGTTTGTTGGTCGTCTTGGAGGCAGGGGAGGAGGGGTCTCGTTATTCACAGATTGTGGTTGCGGCGATGATGGTACTGGACATGACCCGGGGCTTGAGAGCGGACTGCTCACCCATCCTGGAGGACGGGGTGGGATGGGTGGTGGAGTGTCGTTATCCATTGTACAAGTAGGTAGTTGCTGGCGATTCAGATGATATGATCACAGATAGTCGACAGCCGAGACTTTGGAAACAAGAGGGAGATAGCAAAGCGGGAATCATGAACTTCGGTTCCAAGACTCGTGATGTTCTGTCAATTACGGTGGTTGAAGATTTGAAAGTTACCTATCTCTTGATATTGCAGATGTTTGGAACTACGAGGCTGTTATCTTGCCCGGTCTCCCCTCACATAACCTCACGAAACTGCCTGACGCGGGGGAGGACAAGGCAGCCGAGGCTGAATACCCAAAATCCACGATAGCATCCATGCAGTTCTTCATTGGGTTCAACCACGTGAACGATTTGTATGGTTGCGGGATTGATGTTCTATCTGCAATGCTGCTCCGATAACGCCACTTTTTCTTCAGCCGCTTCTTTCGGGCATGGTAGGTTGGATGTTACTGACCCGGTGACGAGGCAAAGCTATCGCGGTAACATGGAAGCTCTGCTGTCGCCCGTTATCATCAACGCCCAAAATTGACTACCCCGAATTTGGAGTTGTGTGCAGTGATCTATTGAAGGGGGCGCACGCACGCAGCTGGCTTCGTTTCGACTAGACGGGTTGGGGTAAGGGTAGGCGAGATGGCACTCAACCACTTGACATACACGCGCAAAGCTAGCCAGATGTTGGAATGCCTTCACTTTATGATTTACAGTCGGCTGTCCGTCCATCATCTTCTAGTCTTCCGTCTGTCATGGCGAAGGACATGTGTCTGACACCAGTCCTGGCGAAATGAACTTCCAAGTCTTATCTCCAATCCATCCAGCCTCTCCCTTCAGTTTTCCCCTCTCGCTTACTCTTCTCTCGTCTTGATCCCGTCCCGTCTGAGCCGTCCGTCTCAGACCTTCCGAGATCAACACCATCTTCACTCTACCAAACCGCAGCATCGCAACACCACAACAACCACACTCTCGCAGATCGTATTTGCTCCATCCAATAAGAAGAGGTAAACCCGACCATGCCCAATCTGTCCTAGCAACCATCTCAAGACTGCATGACTTCCCGAAGGACTCGCTCCCAGTTGCTTTCCCTAAAAATGAAAAGATGCAGGGAAAGATACCTGCTGCAGCGTATGTAACAAAGAGCGTACTGCGTACATGTAAAGAACGAAAGATTGAGCACAAAGCGTGCGTGATGCAAAATGATTGGTCGGGACGGGCAAGGTGACGGCTGGGACTGACCAATACTATTGACGCCAAGAGCGTTGCCAAGAGTTTGGTGATGGTGGTGGTGGTGGTTGCCCGCTGAGTGGTGGTGATGCCGGTTTCCCTTCTTCTGACTGCTTCTACAGTATCAATCACACTCTTTGCCGTCTTGCATTGCAGCGAGTCTTTCCCATCCCGTGTCTGTCTTTGCCGGCTGAAGTTCAGAATGTCCGGTCTCGTGTTTTTTCTTCCCTTCTTTGCACTGACAAAGTGGAATGTTGAAACCGGGGGCAGGAAGTATGGGAAACAGGCGACACATACGACAGTGTAACCGGGAAGTAGAAGAGAGGACGGTGGGAATAGTTCCCTAGGCTACTATCGCCAATATCATGCGGGGAAACGAAAAAGCACATGGCGGCATGGCACTCATTGCAGGTGGGCATGACATGAGACTCCTTGGGAAAGTGTGAGTGCGAGTGTGACTGACTGACGGCACTAAATGATATATTTCCCGGTTTCCTCAACTGGGCATAGCTAGGTATTTTTCGGGATATGTAGCATCGTGGACTGTGAAAGAGGCCCTGCAGACAGGACGCATCGCCTTCAAATCTGGGGATCGCAAAAAGCGAGTCGGCTAGATGGTGATACATGCCGACTTCACGCCTAAGGTAGCGCACTTGAGTTGTTTGCCCAAACCTTGGCTCTTGGGGAACAGCAATGACGATGTCGCTTCGGCCGCTTGGACAAATGACGACGGGGACCCTCCAGCGACCGACCGAGTGACCCGGACCAGTCGGGGACGCAGAAGGGCAACGCGTCCAGATTCAGGGAATCCGGGGGAATTGGCCACTTGGGTGGCTTGGTCAACTTGGGTTAGGGGACGTCGAACGTTGTCCTTGGACTTTGGTCACTTTTTTTTTTTTTTTTTCTTGCTTTTGTTTGTGAGTGAGGGAGGGAGGGTGTCGTCGTAGTCCGATGTTACTAGCTTTCTTTCCTTGCTAGCTTCTTTTTCAACCGGTGTATTCGTATGTTTGCAATATTTATCCATAATTTCGAGTTGAATTTAGTGAAATCATGAAACCGTAACAATCTTGAATAAAACAATGAAAGGATGGAAAGATGGAAATGAGAGACACACACACCTTTTACGATGGTGTGAATCTTTGCCTGCTCTTCGGTCGGTCCTACAGGTAAGGTAGGCTCTTGGCAATCACAGACTACCATAAGCCGCCCACCAGTTCGAAATCCTACACCCCGCTATCACACTTCCCTTTGATGTTACCCCCGGCTTCTTCCAACAATTGTGAATCCCGTCCCTCCTTCTCTAGTCCCTTTCTTCCCTCCGAATCCTTCGATCCAGCTCCGCGGAGACAGGCAGAAGAGGTGGCTTGACTGGGATGCTGCTGAGAGTCAGATGGTTTCTGGGAAAAGCATGTGCAAGTTGTCTCACTCGTGATGATGCCCGTGATTATCCACGTGGTTATGTATGCCCAACCTCGACTACGGACCCTAACCAACGAGGACAATGGGAATGGGAGCAGCTTGACATCTCCAAGTTGTACTGAGATCGAGATCGAGAGGTTGCATAGAGTTTCTTGGTGTTGCTGGTGATGCCGTGGCCCGATAGGCCTGCCGAGCAAGGCGCAATCTCCCCAAGACCGGGCAGTGAGTGGTGTCTCGGCAACAAACACCCAACAGAGGTTAGCACCAAACGCACCCCCCCTCAGTGGAAGCCGAGAAGAAACCCAACCCAAGGATCACTGTCCATCAGCGGATCACAGCGCTAATATCTTGCAGCCTGTGCGACTTTGAAGGCAGTGCTTCGGCGTGATGATGCACCGCACTGCACACCACTGTAGACTGCATGAAGGGATTCCCACCTCACTGTAATGTCTGGGAAAGGATGGAAGACCCCTTCTTCCTTGCATGTGCAGATGGGAATCCACTGTCGACCACATTTTTGACCTTTTTTTTTTTTTCCTTCCTCCTTGTTAACTCTCTTTTGTTTGTTTGCCTTTTTGCTTACTTCTTCTTAAGCTGTTCAAAATGCCTTTTCACATGCTTATAACCTCGTTTTCGTATAACGACGCAGTATACCCAGGGTAGCATCCAACTCCCATACCATTGCACGTATCATCATGATAATATCACCACACACGGCACGAGCTACCCATCTTCCATGTCTCGAACGGCAGTTGTAGCTCGCCGGCGTTAGACCGGCCGGAGGGGATATACCCAAAATTGGACATCCGAAATCACCAAACGCCCTACCTCTCAAACCACACCATACCAAAAAGTATGCCAGGACGCGAGACTATCACCCTCAACTTTGCTGATCAAGACTAAGCGACTCGGCGATTTACGCTTTGATCTCTGATGAGACCGGTAATAAGGGGCGGCCGAATTAACCCTGGAGGTGAAAGCTCCGGATCTAAGCTCCGGCTCCGACTCAGGATCAACATCTGATCCATGTCAACCTAGCATTTCGGCAAACCAGAGGGGCGGAAGAACTGGATTCAAGATGCCGTCCAAATTTCCAAGATGAACATACGTACATCCAACAACCCTTTGAAAGCACAGCCTTGATGGGAGGTGAATGTCTCAGACCACTGTTTACCTACCATATCTACCTAGCAGGTAGCCCGTCTGTGTCAGCCTACACAAGGAAGGAAAGAAAGAAAAGAAAAGAGAAGGCTCAGTCCGGGCCTACATAGTACACTACTGCCTACACTAAGATCAGCCTACGGCTAACCCGTCCGTCACATCCTGATTTCGAACCCCACCACGTGGTAGGAGAATTCCCCGAGATCGAAACCACCAAAACAAAAAACCTGCTTTTCCTCCAATGTTTCGGATGTTTAGTGTGTAGTGTACTGTATACAACACAAGTCACAATGGAAAAACCCATAACAGCCGAACAAAGCTGCTGAAACAAAATATTATTATGTGAGATTTCGACATGTGCGATACTAGATCGTCGGTCGTATGGGATAGGCATGGAATCTCAGACTAGATGAAACGCCGATGGAAAGCCGAGATCAGCATTTGAGCAGTCCTGCCGAGTGAACCGCAAGTGAAAAAAAGGAATGTTGGAGTGGAAAGATACTTGGAGACATGGAGGGGGGATACTTACAAGCTTACTTATTTTTTTTCTCATGGTGTCGAAAGAAACAAACAGGCTGAAAGAAAGGACACTGAAAATGCCTATTCAGTCTTGGAGGTAATAATCGCCATCCTAAGCAACTTCAAGGTACATACCTACCTACCTGCTCAACCACAGCGTATCTATGGTTGTTCAGAACAATACCTACCTCTACCAGGGAATTCAATGGACAAGGCCATCCCAGCTCCATCCATTCCAACGGTCTATCTAGCCTTCCTTCAGATAACATATCGTATCTGAGCAAACAACATGAAGACCCCGGATTGTCACAAATGGTATATGTAACCCACCCAACCTATGCTCACTCGTATAGAGATAGCCTTTGGGAGACCGGCGAGGGAAACAAAGAGGCCGATGAGGAAGTAAACCGGCGTGTTCTTATCAGATATCATATCCCAGTCCCAGAACCATGTGGCCTGATACCTAATCGCTCACGCAAAGTGATAGGAATGAATGTAAAGTGTGTTACTGCCCTTCACCGGCCGAGTTTCCATCTGTGTAGGAATTCACGGCTCCCTCCAGTTGATAGAACCGAAAGGTGCCCGGTCTAGTGGGTGTATGGTGGGAGATAACAGCCAGCCAGCCAGCCAACCTTCCACCCTACCGGACCGGCCGATCTTCAAACACGCAGTTGATCATCAGGAGACTGGCTGGCTGGCTGGCTGGCTGGCTGGCTACCTCTGCTTTTACCAGGCGCAGAGTGAAACATTCACCTTTATAGGATACTCTGGTTTCCCGGTGTGCCACACATACTTCCGTTCCCACCTCTAGCGAGTTGTCCACTCACTCAGGCAGCCGGCCTCACACCTCTCACCTCTCACCTCTCACGTCTCCCTCTTACCTCTTACTCCACTAGTATCAGCCAAGGCAACAAGACTAGGCGAGACGAGACGATGGGGGTGCCACACCCATTACAGAAATACCAAATCTCAGGTCATTGACAAGCCCGGAGAGCCACTCGTTCAATGATTTTGGTCTGGTCACTCGGTCTTGTTTTATATTCAGTTAGCTTGTTGTGAGGTAGGAGGTAGTTGGTACCGCCGAACGAGCGTGACCTGGGGGGTTTAAGCCAAGTTGAGGTTGAGGTTGAGGTAACTATAGCCGTAGCCGTAGCCGCAGCGAGAACTATTGGTATCAACATCGTGACCTTGCCCGCTGAATATTGAGACAGGATGGATATTTGCCTCCAGGAGTCCAGTATTATCCACCAAACTCAGGTGTGTGTATGGTGCAGTATGGCTCGGTGAGGTGTAATCCACCTAGAGGCAGGTGTGGCTTCACACTCACACTCAAGATATCTCAACCACAACCGCCACTACATAACCTTAAACCACATACATACCTCGAGGCTCGAGACACAGCCACTACAATAGCCCAGTCAGCCAGTCAGTCAGTCAGTCAGTCAGTCAGCCACTTTCTTCCCTTTTCTTCCCCTTCCCTCCCCCCCTCTACAACATACCAACATACCGACATACCATATAGTAAAGTAAAGTACACTAGCATAAACGGCAATCAGGGTGTGGTAAGGTGAGACACACTCCACACACACACACACACACCCTAGAGAGGTGAGACACAGCCCGGCTCCGAAAGTCTTGGCTGCGGACAGCCCGCCGCAACGCAACTTGATCTGTTGAACATGCTCGACATGCTGCGCTGCATACCTCTATCATAGACTAGCCGAGCGACGCGAACGACATAACACTAGGTAGGTAAGCTGGTGAACGTAAAGTTACCTAGGTAGGTACCTCTAGGTTGGTGGGGCAGATCGACTAATTATAATCGGACGAACAAGGTGCGACACATGTACGGCGGACGAGAATATATGGCAGACAGACTGGATAGAGAGAATTGATAGAAACAATCGGTTCGGTTGTTGGTAGTTGTTGGTGGTGGTGGTGTTGGTTTGAAAGTTTGTAAAGGTTGTAAAGGTTGTGTTGGTAGGTGACCACTAGTTTAGTCTAATCTGATACTGAATGAATGACACTAGCCCTCCTGGACGCTGTCATTGGCTAGTGTA